CCATGTCCTTGTCAATTCTATTATAATGAACTCTGATCAGATCTTTAACCATGGACATTTTAAAGTCTTTTGTCATTTAAAGACAGTTCGTTTTCACTCTGATGCTTTTGCAAAATGAAGATTCACAGAAACGACCCTACCAAGTACTCTTGACCACTGACCCTGCCGCCCAATTGCAAAGTGTCAAACCTGGGGCACACATCTGACAGCTATCTGGCCCTGGAAAAAGGCCAGAGACCGCAAAAAAGAAAGAAAAGAAAGAAAAGAAAAAAAAGAAAAAGAAAAATCAAACTGAGAAAGAGAAGTAACGAACATTGCTCTGACATTGTTTCTGTTGCTCCTTCCCTCTCTGACCATCCCTTTCCTCATTCTTACACCACAAAAGTCTTGATGATTCTTTTGTTCACCTTTTGCCTTACCCTGGCCTGGAAACATAATGCCATTGTTCTCCTAGCTTAGGCCACTGCAAGGTGGGGGGTGGGGGTGGTAAGGCAACCTCCAAGTAACTTAGATTTGCCACCATGCTGGTGATCTGGTAGATCATTTGCCTGTCCCAAACTTCTCCCTGATTCCCAATGCCTCAGTTTCTATGAAACAAACTCAGCCACTTTCCATCCTGGGGGTCTCTTTCCCGGACTCTGGTTAAAACCCCAAACCAGGGGAAACTGTGTCTCTGTTCAAACAAAGGGACACAAGGCAAGGGTAACCAGAATAAACCACCTGTGTAGTCTAGAGACCCTTCAGTTTTACTGACTGTCACCTTTCCAGTCCCTAGTCACAGATTCAAATGGGAATTACCAAGAGTTATTCATGATTCAAAATTCATTTCCTGTGGCGGATCCGTACTGTCCTGGTTAAGGGTAAGTTGCCACTGAGGCTATGCTCAGAATTTCTCCTTAACTCGAAGATATTGCAGAATCTGTGGCTAAAGCATTACCTGCCCAATAAAAATCCCTAATCTCTGGCCATTCTTGTTCCTGATAAGAGGAGAGCCCTTGATGATCTTTTCGCTGAGCAAGAGGTCTTTGCTCAGTGGTCACCACCACTTGCTGCACTTGGGCTCACACTTCTGGCCAAGTTGAGACTCGGCAGCTGTGTAAGATCACTGAGTAAGCCAGCTGGCTTTAAAAGGTGACTCCTTCGGGCGCCTGGGTGGCTCAGTTGGTTAAGCGACTGCCTTCGGCTCAGGTCATGATCCCAGGGTCCTGGGATCGAGACCCACATCGGGCTCCCTGCTCAGCAGGAAGCCTGCTTCTCCCTCTCCCACTCCCCCTGCTTGTGTTCCCTCTCTCGCTGTCTCTCCCTCTCTCTGTCAGTTAAATAAATAAAATCTTAAAAAAAAAAAAAAAAAGTGACTCCTTCAGGGGCGCCTGGATGGCTCAGTCGTTAAGCATCTGCCTTCGGTTCAGGTCATGATCCCAGGGTCCTGGGATTGAGCCCCGCATCAGGCTCCCTGCTCGGCAGGAAGCCTGCTTCTCCCTCTCCCACTCCCCCTGCTTGTGTTCCCTCTCTCACTGTCTCTCTGTCAAATAAATAAATAAAATCTTAAAAAAAAAAAAAAAGTGACTCCTTCAATTGGGTCTTACTTTGACCTATTTAATTCTGATTGGCTTGGGTCTTGGGGACCATGACTCATAAGTGCACTCCAGACATTGGGTATTATCTTGCTTTTAATAACCATAGTCTCCTCAGTGTGCTGTATTCTCTCAAAAGCTTTAAATGCATATTTTTGGCCATCCACCACCAAGCAAATGATCTCCCTAAGATTAGAACATCACTTACACTTAGCCCCATGTCACCAAACAGAATCAGCTCACCCTGAACTGGAATCTTATATCAGTCAGGAATGGCCTGATCAGCACTAGTTAGGTAATCTACCTGATAGACCCCCACGATCTCCTAAAGGAAAAGTAACCTCAAAAAAACACCAATCCCCTTTTCACAAAGTGTAACTTCCTTGTTCTCACTCCTTTCTGCCTATAGAAGTCTTTCATTTTGTACAGCTCCTCAGACCCCCATTCTACCCTCTAGACTGTATGCTGCCTGCCTGATTCATGATTCATTGAATAAAACCAGTAAGACCCTCCAAATGTACTCAGTTGAATTTTATTCTTTACCAAAATAAAGAATGAATCAGTGTTAAGTGAATCCTCATTTTTCTCTAGGCTCAACATGGCTTGGCTTGGCATTGTTACGAATCTTTATTTACAATTTTTTTTTTTAAAAAAAAGACATTTATTCAGCGTCATGATCAGACTATTACATTTAGCAATCAACAGCATGGGTGCAAAAAAAAAAAATCTACATTAAAACCCTTTGTTGGAATGCTTTACACTTTCCACAGAACAGAAACTAAAATAACCTGTTATACAATTAGTCACAAATACAGTCCTCGAGTTTTTTGCCCATACACATGAGTATTGTCTAAAACATGTCTTCTTTGTAGCAGCTAGGCCCTGCCACCACTGTGCTTGGCTGAGTTCACAAATCTGTTGTAACCTGTAGCTTCCCTGTCACTTCTCTGGCTCTCCTCTCCTGCTAAGCTTTGTTTCCTGGCAGTAATTAAAACCTTCTGCCACTGCCATAGCTACTGCTGCTGCTGGAACCACCATAGCCACCTTGGTTTCGTGGTTTGGCAAAGTATTGGCCTCCACCACCATAGGGGCCAGAGCTTCTGCCTCCAAAATTTCCTCCTTTCATGGGTCCAAAATTTGAGGATTGATTGTTGTAATTGCCAAAATCATTATAGCTTCTGCCACCTCCAAAGTTGCTTCCATCATTACCAAATCCGTTATAGCCATCCCCACTGCCACCATATCCACCACCACCTCGACTGCCACCAAAGCCACCTCGACCACTGAAATTCCCTCCACGACCAAAGTTGTCATTCCCACCAAAACCACCTCCACGACCACCACCAAAGTTTCCAGAACCACTTCGACCTCTTTGGCTGGATGAAGCACTAGCCATCTCTTGCTTAGATAGGGCTTTCCTTACTTCACAGTTGTGGCCATTCACAGTATGGTATTTTTGAATGACAGTCTTGTCTACAGAGTCATGGTCATCAAATGTTACAAAAGCAAAACCTCTCTCTTTGCCACTGCCTCGGTCAGTCATGATCTCAATCACTTCAATTTTCCCATACTGTTCAAAATAATCTCTTAGATGATGTTCTTCAGTGTCTTCTTTAATGCCACCAACAAAAATCTTTTTCACAGTTAAGTGGGCACCAGGTCTTTGAGAATCTTCTCTTGAGACAGCCCTCTTTGGTTCCACAACTCTTCCATCCACCTTATGTGGCCTTGCGTTCATGGCTGCATCCACCTCCTCCACAGTGGCATACCTGACAAACCCAAAGCCTCTGGAGCGCTTGGTGTTTGGATCTCTCATTACCACACAGTCCGTAAGCGTTCCCCATTGCTCAAAATGGCTCCTCAGACTCTCATCGGTTGTTTCAAAGCTCAAACCTCCGATGAAGAGCTTCCGCAGCTGTTCAGGCTCTTTGGGAGACTCTGACTTTGACATGACGGCGGTGGGGGGGGGAGACTTTAACGATGCTTACTCTGCGGCGTCCACGGGCAGAAAGCTTTATTTACAATTTTTGTATTTTGTCTATCATGACTTTCTTTTCTGCAAATTGATTTTCAAAAAAAACCATTGCGGTAAAGAGTTATTTATCAGGGTGCCTGACTGCCCCAGTCAGTGGCACATGCAACTCTCCATCTTGGGTCATGAGTTCATGCCCCATGTTGGGTATACAAATTATTTAAAAAATAAAATCTTAAAAAAAAAAGACTTAAAAAATAGTTATTTACCTTGATTACTGAGTTTTTTAGCACACCGTTAAATTTTGCAAACCCTACCCTAAGGGTGCACCTCCCATCTCCCTTCCCTCTGAATTTTCTTAGTTTTCATTTCTAATCTTTCATAACTTTCAAGTTCTATTTCTTTTTCCTTCCCCTTTGAGAGCAAAGGCGTACCTCTGAGATATTGTAGGTTTGGTTGCTGGCAACCGGAACAAAGCAAGGCACATGAATTTTTTGGTTTCCCCGTGCATATAAAAATTATATGGGTGGCTCAGTTGGTTAAGCAGCTGCCTTTGGCTCAGCTAATGATCCCGGAGTCCCAAGATCAATCCTCCTTGCTCAGTGGGGAGTCTGTTTTTCCCTCTGCCCTTTAGCCCACTTGCATGCTCTCTCTCTTGCTCTCTTTCAAATAAATATATCTTTAAAAAAAATTGTTTACCCCATAGTCTATTAAGTGTGCAATAGCATTATGTCTAACAATGTACATACCTTAATTTAAAAATACTTCATTGTTAAAAAATGCTTATCATTTGAGCTTTCAGTGAGTTATCCTCCCTGATCACAGATCATCACACCAAATATAATGAAAAGGTTTGAATTTTCCAAGAATTACCAAAATGTGACACAGAAAATGAGCAAATGTTGGAAAAAGGGTGCCAGATTTGTTCAATGTGAGGTTGCCACAAACTTTCAATTTATAGTAAAAAAAAAAAAAAAAGATAAAAATGCAGAATCTGCAAAGCACACTAAAACAAGCACAATAAAACCTGTAGTATGAAGACTTCAACTTTCACTTGGTAGAGATTTAGAACTTTTCTCATTGCTCTGTTCAGTTGCCCCAAGTAGGGGTGTGTGTCAAGCCACTCCACGTCCATTCCTCTTCGTTATTCTTTTTTTTTTTAAAGATTTTATTTATTTATTTGAGAGAGAGAGAGAGAGAGAGAAACAGCATGAGAGGGGAAAGGGTCAGAGGGAGAAGCAGGCTCCCCGCTGAGCCGGGAGCCTGATGTGGAACTCGATCCCAGGACTCCAGGATCACGACCCGAGCCGAAGGCAGTCGCTTAACCAACTGAGCCACCCAGGCGCCCTCCTCTTCGTTATTCTTAAATGCTTCCCTGTTACTGCTATTTCCCCCACCAGCCCTGGACTAGCTCCTGGGGTACAAAACCATTTCGATTCCCGACACCAAGGGAAATGCATCCTGCAGGACCCCCGAGGGCCGAATCTGAACCTTGCCAAAGAAGAAACGAATTTCCTTTCCCTGGAACAGGCCGGCTAGCTCCAAGTCACAGTGACTCAGCGAATCTGAGGCTTAAGGACCACAACCCTGTACACCCTCCCCCGGGTCTGCCCCATTCCGTGCGAAGCCGCTTTCCCGAGGCTGGGAGAGGCGCCAGGGCGCGCCGCGACTCCCCCGGAAATTTCCCCCTGCTGGCCCCAGGTGGTTTCTGGACAGAGTCCAGATGGGCATGCCTCCCACCCGCACCCACACCCTTTAGCCGCGCCCAACTCCCCCGCCCCCTGCGTCCTCAGGGCCCCCTTCTTCCACGTTCGGGGTCCCTACTCCAGCTCCCAGACTCCCCTTCCCTCCCAGAACCGCAGCCCCGGCGCGCCCCGCCCTGCGCCCTAGGGTCCCAGCGGTTGGCTCCGCCCCGGCGGGCCCCGCTCCAGTGGGCCGGGCGCAGGGAGCTATAAAGTGGCGGGCGCTCTGCAGGCGGCACCCCGGACCCCAGCCTCTGCCCGACGGCCCTGTCCCCCCACCCCCGAGCGGACTCTGCCGCAGCCAGTGTCGCCCTGACAACCAGCAGCGCAGCCAATCAACGCACCGCCGGAGGCCTGGCTGGTGAGTGCCGCGCAGCCGCGCTACAGAGCAATGCTCCCCCCGCCAGCCCCCCAGCAGAGGCGCCCCCAGCCCTCGTTTGTCTGCGGGAGCCCCGAGGGGTTTAGCTCTCAGTTTTCCTCCGTGACTCCAAACTGAAAAAGCAAAGGCATTAGGATCCCGGGAGGAGCCCTTGACCAGACACTGCGGGAAGGGGAGCTCCTGTTTCTACCCCAACCCCACGAACCGGGGTGGGGGTTTGAAAGAGACTTGATCTCGGTAGCAAAAAAATTCCCTCCAAAACAGGTCGGAAACCGGTCGTCCGAGGCCATATCTGGTCCACTGGCACACCTTGTTTGGCCTTATAGAATTTAAAACATTTTGGTATAAGTTGCTAGTATTTACAATAAAGATAGGTGATTTTGTTTAAAAAGGTGAATTCTCTGCTTTGGGAGGGAAATTAAAAAGATCCGGTGATGACTGGAGCTGGGAAGTTGTTCCCTTTAGTTTGATAGAGACCAGCCCCAGGCTGCCTGGCCAGGAGACAGTTTTGACTGCGACCCTTGGATTGGGCAAACCGGATCCCTGTATCAGGTCCACTTGGAGTGACAGAGCCTCCCCTCTCCACCATTCACCCCAGGGGACCTTACGGGTCACAAGTGTATCTGATGTACGCATGGCCTCTAAGACACCCCAGCTGCAAGGCCTGCAGGCGCAGGGAGCTCTTTCCCAGAGAGCCTCATTTCCAGATGGGTCAGTGCTACCATTTAGAAAGCCATTTCCTCAATTGGGACAGAATTCTACCTTTCAATTTCCTTTCCTCTGAACCTAGTTCTGTTTTCTGAAAACACACGTGCAAAGAATCTCATCTTGCCAAAAGTTAAGGGAGGGATGAGCTTCTGTTGCAGTTGACAAACTAGAGTTAGAATCTCTGTGAAAAGGGCTGCAGCCCACCCAGAATTTCTAGAAACCTAGAGGAGAAGCATCTGGGAGAGCCCGCAGGGCAGCTGACCAGGATTCCTGCCTGCACCTTAGGGGTGGGTTCTCTCTACTTCATTCTTAGCTGTCCGGAGGGCACTGGCACTCCTCCAGTATAGGGCAAGAGCTAGTTCCTGATTTTACAATCTTATACAATATCCTGTGAATCCAAAGCATTTGTTTGCAACCACAAGGTGCCTCTGACTAGCAGATTGTGAATGCACTAGCAGAAACAGAATGCACAAAACGGATAGGAGGGCCTGCCCTTATTCTATATGTGATAGGTTTTCCTTGACTGCTTATTCTTCCTGCCAGAATGATCGCGTGGGTAATATATGTTACTGGTAAAGACATCTAGATGTGCTTTACATTAAAACAAGGTGCCAAGACCCCTTTCTCTCTCTCTGCCAGCTTTATCTTTTTTAAGTTCTTTTTTAAAAAAATTTTTTAAAGATTTTAATTATTTGACAGAGAGAGAGAGAGAGACAGAGTGAGCACAAGTAGGGGGAGCGGCAGAGGGAGAAGCAGGCTCCCCAATGAGCAAGGAGCCCAGACGTGGGGCTCGATCCCAAGACCCTGGGATCATGACCTGAGCCGAAGGCAGACGCTCAACCAACTGAGCCACCCAGTCTGGAATGTTCGTGAAAACTTGGTTTCAGATTGGCCTGAGTTGGAAGGCAGAGAATCATAGGAACATTGGAGCCTTAGAATGAGGACAGAGGTCAGGTCCCCCGAAACAGTCGGGATGCTTTGGCCACCAGAATGTATGCTCTATGGGAAAAAAAATTGTGTGTTTTTGCACACTGGTGTATCCCAAATGCCTAGAGCAGTGCCTGGTGGGTAGGAGGTGCTCACTCAAGCCCGGTGGAGAGGCTCAGAGGCTGGGTTAGGGAGAACATGAGCAGTGCACAGGGAGAGAAGAAGTTGGCTGGGGGTGGATACACCAGATTTCAGGACAGAGAAGGGCGGATGAACAGGGAGCATATTTCACGTAGGGACGGACTGAAATCTGAAGAGAGTTGCATTATCAAGGGCGGGCTCAGCTGTGGGACATACAATGGCTTCTGTGAGGTCAACGATGTGCCCAGCAAGCAGAAATGAATGTTAAATTAGAAGGACTGATGATAACCCCATTGGTCTTTCAAACCTCTCCTTCAGTGGCAGCGCCTTCTGAAGCCGTTCCTCATCGGCCAGCCCTGAAGTGAACGGTTTTCCTCAGGAATTTTGTCCCCTGCCTCCCCCGTCAAGCTAACGCTGTTTGTGTGTGTGTCTTACTGCCTTTCTCAGGGTAAATCCTGAGAAAAATCAAACTTGCCATGTAGCTAGTTAAGTGTCAGGAAGGGCCACTGAACCCTTCAAGTCCAAAGACCGCGGGGTTTGTCCATGAAGAAGGACTGGCGACGAGTGACTTGGTGGTGTGTTGGGTAGTGAATCTCCCCTTTACCCTTTCCCTTGGGCAAAGCAGCAAGCCTGCTCTGTTGACTGCAAATGAATGTTCTGTGGTGTGTGCACAACCCTTGACCATTTTCCTACTGCCTTGATTCCAGGAGTCAATATATTCCAGATACTGAACTTTGTTAGTTATATTTCTTGCAAATACGTCCTTCCTGTTTGTGTCTTGACTCACATGGCTTATGTTTGAGGGTATCAGGCATCTTATATAGCTAGTAGCTGATGAGCTCCTTGAAAGCAAGGGACCGATATCCTGATTTTCTCATTTTATGTGAAGTGCCTTTATATTTTACTACTTAGGAAATGCTTGTTAATACTGATAAGTAAAAAAAAAAAAAAACACAAAACTTTATATATAGGTAGGAAGCCAAGAAAATAAAAACTGACAAAGCAGTACTCAGTAAACATTGATATAACTAATGCAAAGGTAAGTCACAGAGAAAATGCTCATCAGAACTTAATATACTCACATTTCTCCTGAGAGTGGGAAGTCCTGGGTTGATAAGAAGAAAAACGGGGGTAGGAATTTGTTGAGGCAGGTTCAGGAGCTCCTTTCCCTTTTCCCCGGGTGTCCAAAGCAGATAAATCACTTTCATAGCATTTAAATCCCTTATCAAACTTAGATTCCACCGCCTCTGAGTTTATAGAGCCTGAAACGCCACGAGCAAGTTCGGCAATGCTCCTCTCGGGCAGGCTGGGGTGGGAAGCCAACACCTGGCTGAATTTAACCTGAAGCAGCTGCTCCCACTGGAGCTCCACCCGTGGACACAACTGTTAGGAGTAGTAAGAAACGAGGTAGTGATGCCAGTTACTAGGAGCAGTGGTGGTGGGATACGCCACCCTCTGCCATTCTCTGGTCCTTCTACCCCTGCTGCCTGCACATGGTTGTGTGGATTTCTCTCTCTCTATATATATACACATTATTTTTTTTAGTACTCTCTACACCCAGTGTGGGACTTGAACTCAAACTTGCCATGTAGCTAGTTAAGTGTCAGGAAGGGCCACTGAACCCTGCAAGTCCAAAGACTGCAGGTTTGTCCATGAAGAAGGACCTGGCGACGAGTGACTTGGTGGTGTGTTGGGTAGTGAATCTCCCCTTTACCCTTTCCCTCGGGCAAAGCAGCAAGCCTGCTCTGTTGACTGCAAATGAATGTTCTGTGGTGTGTGCACAACCCTTGACCATTTTCCTACTGCCTTGTTCCCAAGAGTCAGTATATTCCAGATACTGAACTTTGTTGTATTCCATTTTTGCCAGTGAAAAGAGTAATACAGGATGCATCCTTGTTCATGTATACTTGCGTCCCCATGCTTTTAGTCTATAGAACAGATTCCCCAAAGTTGGAGAGCTAGGTCAAAGATTTATGTGTGGGATTTTGTTTTTGTTTTTTGAGAGAGAGAATCATCAGGGAGGGAGGGTGGAGACGAAGAGAGAGACTCCTAAGCAGACTCCATGCCCGACGCAGGGCTCGATCTCAGGCAACCCTGAGATTGTGACTTGAGCTGAGCTCAAGAGTCGGGTATTTAACCAACTGAGCCACTCAGGCTCCCCTAAGATTTATGTGTCTTTAAAATTTAAAGAGATTGAGCCTGTTTACTGTCCCCAAGGTGGAGGCAGTTCACAGTCCCACTGACAAGGTGCCAATCTTCCTGCAATCTTCATAGCCCTCAGTGTTGCTTGTCTTTTTTTTTTTTTAAGATTTTATTTATTTATTTGACAGAGAGAGACACAGCGAGAGAGGGAAAACAAGCAGGGGGAGTGGGAGAGGGAGAAGCAGGCTTCCCGCGGAGCAGGGAACCCGATGCGGGGCTCGATCCCAGGACCCTGGGATCATGACCTGAGCCGAAGGCAGACGCTTTAACGACTGAGCCATCCAGGCGCCCAGTGTTGCTTGTCTTAAAATTGTTTTGCCATTCCTTTTTTTTTAAGATTTTATTTATAAGTAATCTACACCCAACGTGGGGCCCGAAATCGCAACCCCAAGATCAAGAGTCACCCTCCACGGACGGAGCTGCTTTGCTAATCCGATGGGTAAATATTTCATTTAAATGTGCTTTTCCTGAGGGCACTTCCCTAATGTGCTGGGTGGGGCATTTCTTCCCCTGTGAATAGTGTGCTCATGACCTTGAGTTGTTTTTCTATTGCATGGTCTTTTTCTGTTTGTAGGCATTCTTTGGGATTTTAACCCTTTGTGGTAAGAGTTGCAGATATCATCTCCTTGTTGATTGTCTTTTAAATTTGTTTATGATGCCTTCTGGTACACACAAATTTTTTAATTTTTATGTGGTTTTATCTGGCAAGATTTTCCTTCATGGTTTCTGAATCTCTAGTCTTTCTTAAAAAGTATTCTCTGTCTTGAGGTTATACAAATTCTCCCTTTAGATCTTTACTCTGCCAGGAATTTATTGCTCTAGGTGGTGTGTTTGTGGGATAGTGAAAAAAAAAAAACCCTCAAAATACATATTGAATACAATAGATGCACCGAAAAGTGCACAAATTCAAAGTGACTTGTCACAGACTTGTGTGATCAGCACCCAGGTCAAGCAACAGAACATTGCCGGTGCCCCCAAAGCCCCTTCTCTGACCTTCCGGTCACTACCCCTTGACAAGGGGAAGCACTGTCCTGACTCCTAACACCTTGTATTAGTTGTCTAAGGGGATAATTCCATTTTCATGCAGATGGCCAATTAAATATGCCAACAAAATTAGTTAAGATGCCTCCTTTATTCGTGGGTACTTTTAAGGAGAAAGTAAGTTTCTGGCTTCAGTGGGGGGAGCGCATCCCCCAATGCCTAACAAAGTCGACTCTCCCTTTTTTTTTTTAAGTTTATTTATTTAGTAATCTCTGTGCGCCCACCGTGAGGCTTGAACTCATGACCCCGAAATCAAGAGTCACATGCTTTTCCAACGTGAGCCAGCCAGGCGCCCCCTGAAGTTGACTCTTGCACTGTGGATCCTGGCTTGGCCGCCCTGGAGCTGAAGTTTTGCTGTGTGGTAACTGCTTTTCTCTGTCTGCCTCGTGTGTGCCTGCGTAGCTAGAAGAGCACTGATCGTCCTGGCCCACCCAGAGAAGACATCCTTCAACTATGCCATGAAGGAGGCAGCGGTAGAGGCCTTGAAGGGGAAAGGATGGGACGTCACCGTTTCGGACCTCTACACCATGAACTTCAACCCTGTCATCTCCAGAAAGGACATCACAGGTAGGAGCAGCCACCCCCCCTTGATGAGGTCTCCGTGGCACGTCTCACCGGTGGGTTCTCTGGCCCAGCCTTGGCCCTTCCGGCTTCAGCCTTTTTCCTCCCGGCAGGCCCACTGAAGGACCCTGGGACCTTCCAGTATCCCGTGGAGTCTGTGCTGGCTTATAAAGAAGGCCGCCTGAGCCCGGATATCGTGGCCGAACAAAAGAAGCTAGAAGCCGCAGACCTTGTGATTTTTCAGGTGTGGTCGGACATCAGAAGGGGTGTCAGGACCCTTGAGTTCTGACTGCCCGAGCCCGGTCCCGGTCCCCTAATCAGCTGTGTGATCTTAGAAAAGTCAGTTACCCACTTGAGCGCATTCTCTGTAAAGAAGGGTGATGACTTCAAAGGTGCGCTCTTACACAGATTTATAGACCCGGTGCCCCTTCCCGTACTACTCTTTGAAAATAGGGGACTACAAAGATGACACGTGAGCCTGGCGCTTTTCTTCCCTGAGTGATTCCTTGTGGGATCTCTCGTAGTTTGCCGTTCCTCCCCCTTCTCTGCCTCAGCACCCCGACTGGTCTGTGGAGTAAAGCGTGGGAGACTGACCTCTGCCGTTGGAGCCTTCCAGCTGAAGGGCCCGCGGCCCTGCTTAATGTGTTCCAGCCGCAGAGCGGGGCCTTTCTTCTCCTGGAAGCTGTCTCCCTGCTGGGCAGGCAGTCCTGGACGTGCATATGCTTCTTGTCAGGCCTCTCTCCCGAAAATGCCAGACTGGACTCAGTGACTTTGCTTCTCCCAGTTCTCACCAGCTTTTTGATATTGAACGTGGGATGTCTAGGACCCTGGAAGCTGCACAAGGAGGGTGACGCCAGCTGTGGTTTTTGCAATTATTCAATCAGCTGCAAAGAATCTAAACTTTTAGATTTAGACCCTCAGGCCTGCTGCTGTAGATCAAAGCCACACGCCATTAGCCAGCGCCCCATAGGACGCCTTCTTGGAGCCCGTTTTCTGCTGCGGCTTATCCTCATGCAGCCAAGGCAGCGGTAGGAGTAGCTTTCAAGTCTGCATCTCATATTTTAGAATTAGAACAGACCTTGGTGGTCTTTTAATTTAGCTTCTATCCGATGCCTAAGTTTAATTTACTATCAGTACAGCTGTGCAGGTTGCACTGTGAAATAGCAACATCAAAGGGCAATGTATACACTGCAGATTTGTGGACTTACTATAACATGTTACCAAAGGATGACAGGAAAAGTCTTACTATAGAAGAATCAGTGTACTATGTATGATAGTTTTTTTCTTTTTCTTTTTAAAGAATTTATTTTGTTTTTATTTTATTTTTTTAAGATTTTATTTATTTATTTAAAGATTTTATTTATTTGAGAGAGAGAGAATGAGAGAGAGAAAGCACGAGAGGGAAGAGGGTCAGAAGGAGAAGCAGACTCCCCGCCGAGCAGGGAGCCCGACGCGGGACTCGATCCCGGGACTCCAGGATCATGACCTGAGCCAAAGGCAGTCGCTTAACCAACTGAGCCACCCAGGCGCCCAAGATTTTATTTATTTATTCATGAGAGACAGAGGGAGAGAGAGAGAGAAGCAGAGGGAGAAGCAGGCTCCCAAGGAGCAGGGAGCCCGATGCGGGACTCGATCCCAGGACCCCGGGATCATGACCTGAGCCGAAGGCAGACGCTTAACCATCCAAGCCACCCAGGCGCCCAAGAATTTATTTATTTTGATAGAGACACAGCGAGAGAGGGAACACAAGCAGGGGGAGTGGGAGAGGGAGAAGCAGGCTTCCTGCCGAGCAGGGAGCCCGATGTGGGGCTTGATCCCAGGACCCTGGGACCATGACCTGAGCCAAAGGCAGACGCTTAATGACTGAGCCACCCAGGTGCCCCTATGATAGTCTTTCAACATGCAAATTCAGTGTCCTGAGGAGGAGCATTTTGATTCATACCGAGATGCCGTGTGGGCTAGCCCCCCTGCTCACTTTCCTCCCTTCTCCAAGAACAACCAGAGGAAGAATAAACTCTTAATATCCTGCAAGCCAAGCAATCCTGTTTTCAGCTCTGACTGCAGGACACTCACAAGGACCAAATCTACTTGTCTAAACAACCTACACGGGGCGCCTGGGTGGCTCAGTCGGTTAAGCGTCTGCCTTCAGCTCGGGTCATGATCCCAGGGTCCTGGGATCGAGCCCCGCATCGGGCTCCCTGCTCCGCGGGGAGTCTGCTTCTCCCTCTCCCACTCCCCCGCTTGTGTTCCCTCTCTAGCTGTGTCTCCTCTGTCAAATAAATAAATAAAATCTTTAAAAAAAAAAATAAACAAACAACCTACACATTTCTCTTAAAAGCTGCGGTCTGGCCCCTCACAGTTGCAGGGTCATAAAGATAAAGAAGCCTCTAGAGATTACTCAAGCCCCTCTTTCCACAGCTCAGGCACATGAGACTTAGGAAAAGTAAGGGGCTTATGGGGCAGAGGTCTTGCATCACGTCAATGGCAGAATCAGGGTGAGAACACAATCTTGTTTTCAGTCTCGTGTTCTTTCTGTTCGAAAACCCTGCCCCTTTGCCCCTCTCCTATAGGTCAATAACCATTCAAATATCAGAGAAAGATATCAAGTCCTCCAAATTCCTTCTCTGTCCTAATTTTTCTCATGTGGGCATATTCCATTTGTCATTGTCTTTAAATCCTAAGTCAAGGAGCAGAAGAAATACTGGTATAGTCCCTGTTCTGCTTTTATCAGGGCAAGAGACCCCACGAGACTTTCTCATGGGAATTCCCTGATAAATACCTTAGTCACACGGGTCATTTGTTTGCCTGCATGAGTTCATCCTCATGCACTGTTTATTCTATTTTTTTTTTAAAGATTTTATTTATTTATTTGAGACAGAGAGAATGAGAGAGAGAGAGAGAGAGAGCACATGACAGGGGGGAGGGTCAGAGGGAGAAGCGGACTCCCCGCCGAGCAGGGAGCCCGATGCAGGACTCGATCCAGGGACTCCAGGATCATGACCTGAGCCAAAGGCAGTTGCCCAACCAACTGAGCCACCCAGGCACCCTGCACTGTTTATTCTAAATGAAAGTGAGCAGGGGGGCTAGCCCACATTTTACATCTGTGAACACAAGGTCCCTGTTTCATTTGTTGATACCACTCCTGCTTAAGTGAGCTCTTCAGAAAATATTGATTTAGGCATCACACATTGAAACAAACTTTGTCTGCAATCCTTGCTGTTTACACTTTGCTGCTAAATGTGGTTTCAAAGAAACAAACCTTTTATTGTTTTTAAAGATGTGTTTATCTGAGAGAGAGAGAGTTGGGGGGGAAGGGGCAGGCGGAGAGGGAGAGAATCTCAAGCTGATGCCCTGCTGAGGGTGGAGCCTGATGCAGGGTTTGATCTCACGACCCTGAGAGCACGACCTGAGCTGACATCAAGGGCTGGATGCTTAACCAACTGAGCCACCCAGGCGCCCCTCATAGAAACAAATCTTAATTGCATGTGGCCCTCTTCAGACCTACCGGTAGCTCTTTCTTTAGGCAGAAACAGGAGTGTCAAGTTGACTGACTAAGGACAATCATTTTAATGTGCTAACTCCTCCAGAAGAAATGACAAGGGCCCCAAGAAAGGTCTGCCCTTCTGTGACGTCCCAGGCAGCTGCTAAGCACCTGAGCCACCTTCTGGGCCGGTGGTGCTCCTGATCTGACTTGTCCCTCTGTCCCACAGTTCCCGCTGCAGTGGTTTGGAGTCCCTGCCATCCTGAAAGGCTGGTTCGAGCGAGTGCTCATAGGGGAGTTTGCTTATTCGTATGCTGCCATGTATGACAAGGGACCTTTCCGGGTAGGTGGATGGTTCTGTTTTTCTCTGTCAGCTAGATTCTGGGTAGATTCTGTCCTGAGGCAGAATTTTGAACACAATTAGAAACTCAGGTCAGGCTCCTGGGAGAGATGGATAATAAAGTTTTTAGTAGATATTTAGATAGGACTTTAGGACTTGCTTTAGAATAGCCCAGGAACCTAAGGGGCAAGGGTAGGAGCTAAAGCGAATACTGAGCGTTGAAGCTGGGGGGGTGGGGTGGTGGTGGAAGCGTCATTATACTGTTTTCTCTATGTATGTTTGACATTTTCCATGATAAAAATAAAAAAAAAAAAAGAAAGTCTATCTTAGTTTTTTAGAGACCCAGCTCCTACGCAAGAAACATTTTGAGGCCTCCTGGATACGCACGTAGCCCTGTGGGGAGACAGGTAGAAGCGACAGAGCCCCGCTTAGGCACCAGCAGTCGCGCACTGGTTTTGTAGTCCCCTGATTTGCCACCAGCAGTGCGGAGTCGCCCTGGGTGTGACTTCTGGAGTCCCACTGAGTGGCTTAGAGGAGCCCGTGCTGGAAATGATGTCCGTGGCAGGTGGACGCGCTTGTGTGTGCCTTTCCCTGGGGCTGTTTCGTTAACTTCCTATCACCGTGGCGAGGTGGAGGGTAACAACGACTTGCCTTTTACAGAAGAAGAAGACTGTGCTTTCCATCACCACTGGTGGCAGTGGCTCCATGTATTCCCTGCAGGGTATCCACGGAGACATGAATATCGTTCTCTGGCCAATTCAGGTTACTTGTTTTCAATGACTCTTCGGGGAAGGGGCGTCAATCAGATGAGCTTTCTGTGGGGTCCAGATCCTCAAGATCGCAGCTGAAAACAGACCTGAGGTGTGAGGATGAGAGCCACGTAATAACTCGGAACTCCAGGGAGCTCCCTTTTAGGGCTTGTCTTCCCTAGCGCCTGCACTGCAAGGATAACCCGAGTATGCCCACGTGCAAGCATGGCCGCCTCCTAACCAAGGGCTAGTGCAGGTAACCCCTAGATTTGTATAGCCATGCGCCCCGGTCCTCTTCAGATGACCGATACCTCTCTCCAAGCTTCCTGGCCTTCTCCAAGTTGCTGCTACGGCCTCACAAATGATTAGAAAATTGTAAGAAATGATTTAGTCCAGCTAACAAGAGTGAAGTGTCTGAGGGAGGCTTTTTGGGGGCTGGCCACTGGACTATCAAGATAATCTCTTCTAAGGAAGAGGGCTGGAGAGAAGAGCAAATGAGGTGGCCACCTGTAAGAGCGGACCAGTAATACTGGAGAGTAAATTATAAGAATCATTTCTTGAGACTCATCTGGTTAAACGGAGAGGCAGAGAAAGGCACATCCGCATGCCTTGGCAAGAGTCAGCTGCCAAGAGGCTGAAACTCCCTTATGTAATAGAGCTTCCGGCATTTTTGGCAGAGGATCCCAAGGCTGGCAGGGTTTCAGGGTTTTATTCATTTAAAAAAGAGCTCGGCCGAATAGGCTAAAATAGGTAACAGCTAGGAATAGAGACCGGGTGAGAGAAAATAGCTATGAATTGATTCTCCAGGGGGAGGCCTCAGGCCCCCATAGCGGAGTGTCTTTTTGAAAAACCTAGATTAACTTTTGCTGTTTGTATATGGTACAAGCTGTGTAGGGTTTGTTCTGTGACTCATCTCTGTGCTTTGTGTACCCCCAGAGTGGCACTCTGCATTTCTGTGGCTTCCAAGTCTTGGAACCTCAGCTGACATATAGCATTGGCCACACTCCCACGGAGGCCCGAATTCAGATACTGGAAGGATGGAAGAAACGCCTGGAGAATATCTGGGATGAGACTCCACTGTATTTTGCTCCAAGTAGCCTCTTTGACTTAAACTTCCAGGCAGGATTCTTAATGAAAAAGGAAGTGCAGGATGAGTGGAAAAACAAGAAATTTGGCCTTTCTGTGGGCCATCATTTGGGCAAGTCCATCCCAACTGACAACCAGATCAAAGCCAGAAAATGAGACTCACAAGACTTGGTTTCCTGCTAAAGTGTAGCCAAATTGAGATTTCTTTTTCAGACTTCCTTGACTTGCTTTAGTCTTTAAGATTTGTGTTTTTTTAAGATGTGTTTTTTTTTTCTTTTTCCACAAGGAATGACTAGGAGACAGAATAGACTCTACTCATATATTTTTGGATACTTTTATTAATTGTAACTGATTCTTATGATTGCTATCATGGCAAAATCTGATTAGGCTCAAGAGGCCACTTAGGATATAAAGCAGGGAAAGAAGTAGAAAGATGCCAGACAATAATCTTTAAGGTCCTCTACACAATTTAATTCCTTTCGTTAGGGACAAATTTTTAGGGCTAAATCTGGCAAGACAGCATCCAGCTCTTCAATGATGTATTTTTCTTTTAATTACCTCTCTGTGGCTTACGGCAGAAGGGAATTGCTCAAAGAAATGACTGAATCTGTCTGACCCAAGGGACTTGTTTGGTAGTTACTAATCTGTATTTATGATACTGGTTTTAATTACTGCACAGTGACTAATAATACGCTTAACGTGTTACTCTTCAACTTTTGTTGTTTGTATACAGTACCTGCAGATACCTTCAAATGAAGATAATAAAAGTCTCTTCATCTCAGTCTTCTGATTTAATGTCTGCAGAAATAAGCCAACACATCTGTACACATCTGCTGCAATGAATGAATTCAAGAAATAGTTACTCCCAATACTTAACAACAGCCTTCTACAAATAGTATTTTATTTCTGAGCTATAGAACACTCTGGAAGGTTTTCTTCTCTACCATAGCTAAACTGATGACTTTCCTTTTGGATGTGTTTTGGTCCCACAATTTTGGGGATGAAATTGTAATCCTAGAGTTTCATTAACTCTGAACAATTCTGACATACTTCCAATTTCAATTATTGAAGTGCGGCTCACTGTCCTCATAATTCAAGTAGAATATGATGAAAGGCCGCCCTCTTGTGGTGCATTGTAAGGAAACGAGCTATTAGGCAAAGCAAGGTTGCCTGAAACTGGGAACAGGTAAAAGTGGAATCTACTAGGGAAGACAGGATCAGAGCGTGCAAAAATAAATTATGGCCCCGGGCGCCTGGCTGGCTCATGGAGCATGCAACTCTTAATCTCAGAGTTGTGAGTTCCAGCCCCATGTTGGGTGGAGAGCATTCCTTAAAAATAAAATCTTTAGGGGCGCCTGGGCGGCTCAGTTGGTTGGGCGACTGCCTTCGGCTCAGGTCATGATCCTGGAGTCCCAGGATCGAGTCCCGCATCGGGCTCCTTGCTCAGCAGGGAGTCTGCTTCTCCCGCTGACCCTCTTCCCTCTCGTGCTCTCATTCTCTCTCAAATAAATAAATAAAATCTTAAAAAAAAATAAAATCTTTAAAAACAAATGGCCAGATGCCTTTAAGACTTGAGAGCTCTCCCAACAGGGCTGCTTCATAGTAAATAGTAAAGGAACAACCTATTAAGATCCTCTCAGGGAACCTACAGGACATTTAGAGATCCAGATAAGAGTGTTACAGAAATCAAGAAAAACCTAGAATTCAGTAAACAAAAGCCAAGGGGCAGCAGTATTTATTGTGATTTGCCCGATGTATTCCGATTTACCCAGTCAGTGGGCTAGGTACTCGGCTAGGCACTGGGACCACAGCAATGAACAAAACCAAGTACTTCGTGCTAGAAGAAAGAGCAGGGTAAGAGAGACGGAATGTGCGTAGTTTTGTTTTACATAGGGTGATCAAGAAAGATCTGCCCGATAAGGCGACGTTTGAGCAAAGACCTGATAAAGTGAGAGTGAGCTGTAGATGCGTGAGAGAAGGCACTCTGGGCAGCAGTGACGGCAGAGGGCAAATATCTGAGGCAGGAACATGCAGTGTGAGGAAGAGAGAGGACATTCGTGTGACTAAAGCAGAGAAAGGAAGAGAGGGCTAGGTCACATAGCTGGGGTCAGATCACACAGAGCCTTACAAGCCCTGTAAGAAAATAAAGATGGGAAGTGGCTGGAGAGTTTGGGGCAGAGGTATAATATGACTTACGTTTAATTCTGGCTGGTAGGTGAGGAATCAAGTATAAGACAATGATGGAAGCACGGCTTATGTTTGTGGGAAAGTGACAATCTAGTTAAATGCTTTGAACAACAGAGGTGTCAAGAAGTGGATGTTTTTATAAGGTTGAATATATTTCAAAGGTTGGCGTAACAGTATTTGGTAAAGGACTGGATCTGGGTCAAATAAAATAACTCGAAGGTATTTTGGCTTAAGCAGCTGGAAGAATGGAGACTCCATTTGCTAAGATAATCAAGAATCAGGAAAGCATATTGGGGGCAGAAGTTGGGGTCGGGAAGGGTGAAATCAAAATCTGACTTCAGACATTTTATGTTTGAGATGGATGTCTATTAAGGGTAATAGGAACCTGGACTTAGGGGAGAAGTTATGACTAGAGGCATACATATGGAAATCTTCAACATAGAGACAGTATATGATGCAATGTCACGGATGAGATTACCTAGGAAATAAACTGCGAAAGAGAAAGAGATCTGATGATTGACCTCTAGGGCTCCCCGGTGTTAGGTCAAGAAGATGAGAACGAAAAAAAGTGCCCAGCAGAGGAGGAGAGCTGAGCGTGGGGTCCTGAAAGCTAAAAGAGAGTGTTTCAAAGAGGGAGGGATCGAGTATGTCAAATAGTACTCATAAGCCAAGTAGGATAGGTCTGAGAATTGACCTTTGCATATAGTCACGTGGAGGGCCCTGGTAATTTTGACAAGAGATATTTCGGGGGAGTGGTTTCATGAAAGCCTGATTGGAATGGGTTCAAGAAAGAATGGAAGGAGAGGAAGTGGAAACTTTGTGTACAGACTTGTGTGGTCAAAGAAAGTTATTTGATTTTTTTAAGAGATAAGGGACATTACAGCAAATTTATATGCCAGTAGGAATGACTCAGAGAGAAAAGGTTTTGATACTGGAGAAAGAAGACAATTACAGGAACACGTCTTTGGAAAAAAAAAAAAAGCACAAAAGGATATGGGATCTAGTGCACAAGGGACAGAATAGCTAAGCAGTGTCAGGACTAGTAATACTAAAACAAGGTGACACTTACTAGGCACTGTGTGCCAGGAACTAAGTAATTTTACATGGATTAATTTATTTTTTAAAAAGATTTTATTTATTTGACAGAGAGATAGAGAGCACAAGTAGGCAGAGTGGCAGGCAGATGGAGAGGGAGAAGCAGGCTCTCCGCTGAGCAGGGAGCCGGACGTGGGGCTCAATCCCAAGACCCCAGGATCACAACCCGAGCCGAAGGCAGCCGCTTAACCGACTGAGCCACCCAGGCGCCCCTTTACTTAGTTTTTGCAATAACCCTAAGAGGAGGGTTTTATTTTTGTTTCTACTTTGTAAGTAAGGAGATGGAAGAATGCAGAGGTTAAACAGCACGTGCAGGAGCCAGAACTCCACTGAGGTGGGCAAACTCAAGAGCCTATGTTTTTAAATACTACAGTGTATCACCTCAGTAGAAGCAGGGACAACAGCACCATGAAAGAGGGCACAAGAGCAGCAATCAGCAACTCTTCTTGAGAGCAAGACCATTAAGTGTTGCTGTTGAGAAACTGTAGCTACTTTTATACTTCTAGAGTCGTTGTTGTGTCCCGAGCAGGCATAAGTGATGCTCTAATTCTCTTACAGGCCCGATTCCATGGCTGCTGAGAATGTGTTTGCTCCTTACAACATGACAGAGGAGTACTCTGACCAGCCTGGAGTAAAGCCGGACAACCACCTCCCTTGTTCTGGACACTGTAACTTTAATTATGTAACCCAGGATTGCATCAGCTTTTCTGGCAGCCACTTCGAGTCTCAACTTCAGATCAATCTTTTGCCCACACAGGCTGTTTTTTGGACCCAAGTATTTTTTAATTTTTTTTTACCCTTTTATTATTTTTATTTAAAATTTTTTTTAAAATTAAAATTTTAGGTCATTAACACACTGCGGTATTGGTTTCTGGAGTAGAATTCAGTGATTCCTAACTTACTACACCCAGTGCCCATTATAACAAGTGCCCTCCTTAATACCCATCACCCATGTAACCCATCCACCACCCTTTTTGATACTTATACTTACTGAATTTCATTTCATTATCACTCCTTTCCAGTGCTGCTGGAAGTCAATAAAGGCCAAAAGACAACTTTTAAACACATTTAGAACAATGGCAGCATCGTTGAAATATATATAGCCTCCTAAAATGACAACTCGTGTGTGTATACATTTGGGTATGTTGAAAATTCAGTCACTTTCATAGAGTCAACAGACACAGACTATACGTGATAAGAAGGTATAAGAGCATACGGTTCAAAGCACTGCTTCTGAAGTTTCAGTTATTTATATATCAAATTCATGGTATCTCTGTATCATCTATATTTGTTTTGAATATCACTTATATTTCCCCAGAGTCCAGTAGGTGGACACAGATTTTTTTTCTAAGGCACATAGACATATATATGTTTACTCATGTCTCATTTTGAATACTGCTAGTGATATGTTATATAGATACCACATACTGGTAAACCCCAATTTGTGTATGTGAAAATAACTGACAGAACAACAACAAAAAGAGATTATTGCCTCTGGATGTTTGACTGAGAGCTGGGGAGATTTGGTTTTTAGCAAAATCACCTCTGTGCTACATGATTTGCTACCACACTGAGTCATTTTGTACGCTGCCCGGCGAAACTACTAGGCACAAAGTAAATGCTCAAAAATAGATCTGGATTTTCGTACCTTTTCCAAATGATTTTATAATTTCAGCCACATACTCATGTTGCTCAAAACTGACATTCATGGATATGGATTCATTCACAAAGTTTGAGGAAAAAAGACAGTTACCTACTGCAAAATGAAAACTTTCAATGTTTTATTTTTGACTGCAGCTGTTTACAGAAATATAGTTGCGAGTATACAAATGTTCCAATAGAAGCAAAATATCTTTTTAATATTTAACAAGTTATCACAGATAGCTAAAAACATAGATGCAAATGAAATTCCCCCACAGAACAAACTGAAAATATCTGGTGTCAGTGCTCTGAAATCCCAACTATGAAAGCCATATACACAAAAATGTAATCCTTATATGATTGCAGGACAATGGAAGAAGGCAGTTCAGTGGTTGACCAGTGTGCTCAAGCAAAATAAAATTAAATTAAAAAATTTAAATGGCAGAATGGTAGCTAAAGCACTTGTTAATGAAATATTTGCAGTATGTTAATTAAAAGACTAGGTAAAAGAAGTGAATAAAACTCAGTAAAAGTTGACCCAAAAAAGTAGCTACTACTTGGAGCTTATCAATGAGAAGGGAACAAGGTGAGCAGATACATTCATTAGCTCAAATGAAATTAGCTCAATGTCATTGGAATCAGTTTGTAGTTACTAAAGTCATAAACACTTCAGTGCAGGACAGTTCTTTATTGAACGCATTAGTCTGATTCCAAAGCCACTCTCAAACGTCTGAGATGGGTGTGTGTGTGTGTGTGTGTGTGTGTGTACGCATTAGTCTGATTCCAAAGCCACTCTCAAACATCTGAGATGGTGTGTGTGTGTGTGTGTGTGTGTGTGTGTGTGTGGTCCTGAGGTTCATCAGCTAAAATAAGAAGCAACCCCTATAGACTATTTCAAACCAAATTCCTTCTGGGGAAAAAAACAGAGCAAGGATGATACCGTTAAACATGGGTCTTTTAAAAGAGATATTACAAGTTGGAGTCAAATAGAATTGTGGTAGAATGCTTTGGATACAGGAATATATTATGCAATAAAGTGGGGAAGAGGGGAAAGGGAACAAGAAAGGAGGAATGTACCTAGAGCATCTCCCCACAGTTTGTCTATGTATTGCCAGCACCAAGGTTTGTAGAGTAAGCCACTTACATTTCCACTGCTAGTATTAAGCAAAGACAGCAGTGGTGATTTTTATAGAGTATACAATTATTTTCATTTTGAATGTGCATTTTTCTTCCATGAGTTAATTGGGTGATTTGTAAACAGTGGAAGGAAGATTACAGCAATTATGGAGGTACTGAATTACACATGGAGATTAAAGTGAATCGATAAATCTACTTATCTTGTTAGTTTATATTCACCATGAGGCATACAGTTGGGAAGGGAGAAGTGCCCAGATTATATAATGCACTGTCTTGTCCAATATCTATTTTAGTAAATAATGCTTGTCTGAAGCATAAGTTCCAAGAATAGCTAACTGTATCAGTTCTCATACAAACCAAGCTACTTTTAAATAAGTTTCATCTATTTAAAAAAGAAATTAAATAAGGTGCTTTGTGGACCTGGCCAGCCATCTTGTTTAATATCTCAGATACAAATATGAATACAAGGAATGCTGTTCTGAGGGTTGGTCTAGCCAGACCAAAATTGTGGTCTGCTGGTAAAGTAAGAGGCAATGAAAAGAAAGCTTGTAATATCACTGCCCATAATGTACCCATTTCATGGATAAACAGGAGACTTTAGCACCCGTCAATTGTTTTAGCTACTTAAACATCATAACAATTAAAAGAAATATAGAAGATTGCACCTATATATTTAAATCAGTCATTTAATGTAAACTTTTTTTAGTACATGGTAGTAAAATGCCAAACTAAGTTAACTGAATTATCAGTAACTAAACTGTTTATGTATATAAAACATACTATATTTCTATAGGCAGTACTGAGAATAAATTATCATTGCCAATAAATGATTATGGATAACCAGGTTAAGCTGAATTTACATAAAGAACAATATACATAATAACTGTTTGTATGACTGGGGGGGATCTTTCTAGATCTTAACTGTGTAACACTTACTGCAGTGGTTTTCAAAAGAGCGTACATCAGAATCACCTGAACGGCTTGTTAAAACACAGATTGCTAGGCCCCATGCCGGAGTTTCTGATTCAGTATGTCTATGATAGGGCCCCAAATCTGCATTTCTAACTAGTTCCCAAGTGATACTGACGTTGGCTGGTGGGCTGAGGACCATACTTTGAAAACCACTGGTTTATACTGTTTATGTAGAAAACTATATACTACAAGGGTCTTATAAACATGACACAAAATATACTGGAAGAGAGCTGGTTTTAATTCTCAAACATATAGATTAGCAAGCTGAACATTTAATATTTCTAAAATGATTTGCTGAAGTGTAATAATTTCCTCATATAGTCAATTACATTTCAAAGTCTTAAGTCCTACTATACAGTCATTTTAGAAAATATTCACGTAACACTTACACCCAGCTGGCTATCCAAAGTAAAAAGGGACATAAAGAGTTAAATGTATTCATTAAGAAGGAATCATCACCACAGAGCATTCTTGGCTTCTTTGGAATGATTAAAGTGCATAATATCATGAGGGTATTAAGAATATTGCATAAAGCTTTGTAGTCTTCAGAGCCACTAAGTCAAAGAAATACTCACACGGGGAAAGCAGCTCTATACCCAAGCTACTGCTATCCTGCTCTCTCGATAGGCACCACCACTGCAATAAGGAGCTACAAAAGAGGCAAAATTAACAAAAAACAGAGGGACACTCAATCCAACTGCATCCTGTTGAAAGGAATCATTATCTTCGTTCTAGTGGGATTCCAAAATAACTTCTTTATTTCCTTTGACACTATTTTTCGTAAAGATGACGAAGGTTCTGACAGGTGAGCGGTGCACTACAATGAATTACATGGCCTTGTCTAGTTAGAAAAGTTGACATTACCAGCTTTTATCTGAACTATGTGGTTTTCATCCATCTAATAAGTAAGATCAGAGAAGATGCTTTAAATCCTTCCTTCCTGAAATTTAACTACGAACATTTGTGTACATGGAGTCTCACAGATAGTAAAATTTTCATTAGCATTCAGATAAGACCTATCATTAGTTGGTCAAGATGAAGACAAATTTAGATAATTTATATAAAGCTGAAACAGTATAATTCTATAATCTATTCCTTACCATCCCTCAAAGGAACAATTCTAGCAATATATCTTCTCTGTTACTCTTACGCCAAAGGGAGAAATTTATGAAGTTGTTTTCTACCATGATCAAAAAATGGAGAAAAGAATGGCTAAATGAAAAAGCTAAAATTGGGGCCTAATTAAATCATTTGTGTATTTGTTTTTGGCAATAGTGAAAAAAGAAATTACAAGAAAGGGGCACTATTACGGTAAAAAGGCACTTTTCCATAAGTATTTGATCTTGATATAAAATATTAATTTAAAAAAATTTCCTGAAAGTGGAGTAAAAATAGAATTTTATTAATGAATGAGGCTAGAATGGCATGAAAACAAATGGGAATTAAAGAAGTAATTAGAGCACTGGGACAATTCACAAGTGACACTATATTACTCTGATATTTACTGCATTATGAACATTATGTCCATGATTTAGTTCTAGTGACACAAATAAGCAGAGGAGAAAACCTCTTTTTTAATATGTTATGAGATTCTACTAACCTAACTTACTAAGGCATGTACTCTGAGTTATTTTTCTAATAAAGCTGCTGAACTATACAGTCTCTGTCTTCACTGAGTCCCTCCTTATAACCAAAGGTGTGCAGATATAACATGGCTGCACTGGGTAGGGATGAAGCCTGTGGTCATGAAGCAGCATAAATCTAATAGGCCTCATATAATTTTCAATTAATTAGAAAAAAAATTAACTAGGAAATAGGTATTAGAACAGAAATTTTCATGAGAACAATGAAAAATTCTCAAATTACTCCTTGTATTTATGTCATGTTTATTTTGAGACTTCAATTATTATCACATTTAATTCTGATCTTTAATTACTGATCTGTCTAAACAGATTTCACTTTTCCAAAACAAGTGTCCAAAACAGTTTAAATGGTCAAAAGGAATTATTATCTTAGTTCTAGAGGGACTCAGATATAATTTCTTTCTCATTTCCTTTGACATTATTTTTCCTAGGCAGATTAACTGAAGTTGTGATGGACAGGAAATGCAATATAATGGAAGTTTCAACTATAGCATGCACAATATTACCAAAAAAGAAAAGAAAGGAAGGAAGGGAGATCTTTCGTTAATTCTGCTTTTATATTAAACAAAGCCCTTTAAAAACCTGTTCTAGGGAGACTGGCAAAACAGACTTGTACTGACTAAATAACAGCACAATACTCTAATTACAAAGGTAATTACCATGATAAAGCTCAAAAGCCAATATGACTTCTAGTTATCTTCTCCCATGTTGGTGTGGATATATAATGGAATGACAATAATGAATAACACACACACACACACACACACACACACACACACACAGATAAGCTCCAAGCATTAAGGTGAGCTGCTAAAAGCAAGAGCAATCGAATGTAACAATATAAAGGAATAAAAAAGGTTCATAGTTTATTTAGGTCCTTCTGCCATAAATAAATTTAATTGTTGCTTCCAAGGCCTTCGCTGGCTCATGGAGTCTCTCCCATATGTAGTTATAAGTTATAACAGTAATCTGGAAATTGTATTATTAGCACAAGTATCAACCACTGACCACTGAGCTAACTCTTCATAAGAAGACAAATGCTTTTTGTAACCAAATATTCAGAATGTTGTACTTAACATTGACCTTTAGGTGTAAGGAACATTAAACAATGTTAAAAAAAATTCATCATTATTGAATAAGAATATGGTAGCATAGCACAGCCCTTGTATAAATAACCGAAATTTATGAAAACAAAAATTGGGTTTTCTGCCTCCATCCAATAAAGCCACTATACAGTTCAGGTGTATGTTCTGTTCTAAACTTAGATACTATAAAACAGAAAATTGGTCCCTGGTGACTTGGCATTGGCAATCAGCATTTTATAATGATAAGCCTCTTGCTAAATGACAGAACAGAAGTCAGCACACAAGCCAGTCTTCTTGCCACCACTTCATCCACAGAGCAGTGTTAACAAACATTCTAATTGGAACTTGGTGAACAAACAGACTTCCTGAGTCTCCTGTGTAATCTCTTAGGAAAAAAGTCAGAAAGCTCAGAAATAAACTTACAGTATTTTATTTCTACTTCTTACTTTTATACCTGCTGGGTAAGCCACCTCTTTATACCTCTGCAGTTAGAGTTTTACATTTTAAAACTGAAGCACTGGATTGTGTGGCTGGTCCTTCTTATAACCTGAACTATATTGGGTAATTTTTCCTGATGGGGTGGGGAGAGATGATATATTAAGGAAAATGCTTTTGGTTCAGAGAATTTATAAAGTAGCTCTGGATATTACAAGATGGGGAAAATGTTATTAAAATTACAAACATGGGATTTTTTTTTAGTGTCATTATAAATAAAAGGCATAGAATACAGAAAGCCAATTAATAATAACAATAACAATAAAATATTAAATATATAGTGAGCAAGGACTGAATGGCTCATTCTTGTGAAACACCATTTGACACAACTGCCTAGATGGGTTTCCTTACTCTAACATTTTTCTGAGTGAAAGATCCAGCAAACACACAGTAAGCTGCCTTTAGCCCACTAATAACATCAAGGAACTGCCCGATGGAATGGCCACAGATGAACAGGTCATTTGTTTCAAAAGATACTTAAATACTCAATAAAGACATAACAAACCCCCCCTCACTGTTATCAGACGCCACGTTGTGGTAGAACATCAGACAAACTCACAAATTTACCACAAAAATGTGTGGCAAAAAAAGAATAGTTTATATATATGTATATATATAAATTTCTATATTTATGCCAATGTACTCACTCAGTACAAATAGCAAAATAGTATACCATTTCCTAAATACAAAATATAGCTTTCCAAAAAAATGAAACACACATTAGATATAAACCATCCAAAACTTGAACGATTGAAAACTGTATTCAAAAGTAAATGACCCAGAGTAGGTCTCTTTCTGAAAAGTTCCCTTCATATCGGCAAGAAGCCTGTACTACTGAAAACGTAATTCAATGCCTCTCAATCAGAGAGAGAAAGAAAGAAAGGGTTGGGGGTGGAGGAACGAATATATAAGAACAAAGAGAAAAAACAAATTAGAAGAAGAGCACGTTCAAAGAACCAAGGAAGACCACAAAAAGGGGGAAAAAATCTGGCTAGATAAACAAAACCAACACCACAATTCCACAAAGTTCAACTAAATGTATAGGATAGAAAAAAATTAAAAACAAACAAACAGAAAAGTAGCCTACAACAGTCATTTAACAGGCTATTTTCTTGTACACTTAAAAAAAATAAATGAAAGGAACATGAATACCAAAACATCTTATCTACATATAGAAGCCACACACAATTTGGCCTTAAACTGTATTAACAGCTTTCTACATGCCAAAAGGAAAATAAGACATAAGCATGTGTCCAGACAACAGGTTGGAGTGAGAAGCAGGCATCCCATGGGTGGCAAGAACACCCAGAACTGTATAACTAATGCTACAACTGCAAATTCTGGAGTGTATAATTTTGCTCTCTATAGATGTAACACAAGTTAATTCTTCATTTTAAGTCAATGATATGACCCTGTAAAGCCTAAGGCTTGTGGGAACCATCAGATAAGTGACCACTTCAAACTGTAAAGCACTGAGGTGACAAGTGAATTACACTCACTGCAGTTCAGGGAGAAGTGATGTTTCAAGAAATTTTAGTTTGCCTTTTTTTTTTTTTTAATTAAAATGTACACTGTTTCCTATTAGAGGGAAAATTTGAAGACTTCAGAACAGCACCGTTCATGGAAAAAAATGAATGCATTGTTTCTTGTGTCTCAGGAATCTGCTCCCCTCATTCCTGAAAGGGTAGCCCCCTGCCCTGCCTGTGCTGCAGGAGTTGCTGGGTTACCCCAGACCAAAGTGGCCTTTTCCTTTAAGTTGCTACAGGGTCACAAAGCTAGTAGATTACTAATTGTCTAAAATAAAGTGAAGAAGAGGGGGAGAAGAATATAAATGAATATAAAAAGGAAACATCGGTCCACGACTGGGATAAGAAGAAAGCAGACTCAAATTGCTGTGTCAGTTTTAAACTGCCGTAGGAGGATATGAGAACATAATTTACCATTTTTTAGCCCCTTCATTTTTTGATAGAGCAAGATAATTATTCTTCTATGCACAGTTATGGCTAAACCCCTTAAAAGAAACACAGAGAATTAACAACTCTCCGAAAAATAAAACCAATAGCATTTCAAGTCTTCCTAGTTTGTGTGTTGTCTGCCTTTCTGATAAATAAAGAGGCCTCTTACATGTGCAGAGCTCTTAATACAGCTTACTTGTCAGAATGTTACCCCTTCAGTTTCTCCATAAAAACTGAAAAAAAGATTCCTTCACTATGGCCAATAACTGTGCTTTTTATATTGAAAAATCACAGCCTTAGTTTTAGTTGCTATTTGAACTTTCCTTTTTCAATAGCCATTACTTGACTAAAACAATGCAGGAAAGAAAATATGACTAAAGAACAAAAGTAAACATGACATTTTGAATTACTTTCTAATAGCAATAATAACTGAGCAGTCCAGCTTTTGGATTTAAACTGTACTTTTAAAGAAACAGCGCCTAGGAAAATAGCAACAATTAATTCTGTCAGCTGGAAATTCAAAAGGATTCTCAGTCATCACTGTTATTAGGAATATAAAATATGAAGATGTTAACAATGGTGGCTAATCACTGCAACAGACAGCACAGATGTGCTCTTTTGCAGTAAGAGTAAAATCTATCCATTTACTCAATCACAGTTTTTCATACTTTGTTTTGTTTTTAAAGTAACAGTTCAAAAATCCTCATGGAATCACATGATCTCAGGACATCTTGGAATCAGAATTTTCTTCATGGAATTTCTATAAAAAAGGAGAAGTTGAATATAACTCACTAGGGAGTGAAAGCATTTAGAAATTTCCCGTTACCCTGAATGACCCCAAAGTATATTACAGTATTATAAATGATACTTCACCATATTTATACTTCCACAGACTTTTCTGACTCAGTATTTATTTCTTGAGGAAGGGTGAAATGAGATATAATTATATCCAATATATAGTACATTCACTGAATGTTCTGTCGTTCCACGGCAAAGAAACTTAGAGCCAGAAGGATTGCCTAGTACTAACAATACAACTACAAACTATCATTCAGAGTAATTTATGCAGCTCGAAAAAGTATCATCTTGTGAGAAAGCCATATTTCAAAAGAGTAGGGTCTAAAAGGTGTTATTACTTAAACACAAATCTTGTAAGAATAACACAATTTATCGATGCTTTTCAATAAAAAAATAAGCCAAAATGCAATACTTACTCATCCAGTTAAAAAGTGCCAGTCAAGTTGTTCCCTTGGTTTTGCAATGAAACAAGCAAATCAATCTTTTCAATGTTCTGGTTGGCATTTATAGAGGATGCTAGTGAAGAATTCTCCGGCATTTGCTGAGAAAGAAGTGTTGTCACAGGTGGCTGGCCCTCATTCTGGGGTTGGCCTGGCTGACTTATGGCCATCAACTGATCTGGCAATGTAGCTGGTCCAGAAGTTAAAAGCTGACTACAGTCTGCAGAGACATTTAAAATAGAGAAGCTACCTGATTAGTTACTTTCTGTTAAGATTCATAAGAAGATATTTATTAGTTGCTGGGGGAAATTCATTATTGTACTTATTCAAAAGAGAACTAGAAGGGGGGCACCTGACAGCCCCCAAAAAGGTTTTCACCAAATGGTACTGGAATTCATCCCAGGTCTCCTCTAAGTGGTATACAAATACAACTTTGCTTCGTTAATCGTTAAGTCCTACACATTTTCCTTGGTATATAAATATTAAAGATGAGTTTCTACTTCCTTGGAAACTACTTGCTTTAATTGGCAGAGATATTTTCTGTCATTCTTACTTCATTTTCCTTTCAAGTGTATAGATTAAAATGGCAAACACATTCATTTATATTCATGATCGCATTTAGTCCTCCCAATATCCTTTTCGAGTAAGTACATAATATTACCACCATTTAAAGATGTGGAAACTGAAGCTTTTGCAGGTCACATAACTTGTCCACGATCTCATGGTATATAAATGGTATAGCTGGGACTTGAACTCAGTTCCAAGTATAATTTGTGCTCTTAAGATCCCTGTGTTTTGGGGCGCCTGGGTGGCTCAGCTGGTTAAGCAACTGCCTTGGGCTCAGGTCATGATCCCAGGGTCCTGGGATCAAGTCCCGCATCGGGCTCCCTGCTCTTCGGAGAGCCTGCTTCTCCCTCTGCCCGCAGCTCCCCCTGCTTGTGTTCCCTCTCTCGCTGTGTCTCTCTCTGTCAAATAAATAAATCTTAAAAAAAAAAAAAGACCCCTGTGTTCTGCTTCCTTTTAATAAAAATAGTAATAATCTGACCACGTCAACCAATAACATTTAAGAAATAAGAAATTAGAAAGAGTTTCTTACTATTCTGAATGCCAAACAAGAACATTCCGGAAGTCTGTTGAGATGAGCCAGGAGAATTCTGTAGTTGGTTCATTGTGCCTCCAGTGGTGTTGTGAAATAAAGTTGCCTGTGCCTGAGGGGAAGATGCGGCTCCCTGGATTCCGGGCATGTTGTTCTGAGGGGAATAAAGAGGAGACTGCTGCATGTCTTGTTGGTTCATACTGGTCTGCAAAGCAGACATGGATGCTGGAGAGAGGAACAGTGTTACTTGCTGCTCTTGAGAACTGGGTGACCCTTGAACCAACTGAATCTGAGGAGAGCTATGGAACAAGGAGGTTTGTGGCGACTCAGACTGGGCAGGGCCTGGGTTCTGAAGAGAGGAAACTGTAGGCTGGTTCTGAAATTGCATGGGCTGCTGCTCTTGATTCATCGGGGCCATGTTATTTTGTTGGTGAAAGATGGCCTGGTTCTGCTGCTCCTGATTAGCCATTGGATTCTGACCCGGGCTGAACATCATGTTTGGTGGTGGCTGCTTCTGGGAGGCCATCGTGGCCATGGTATTCTGGCTACTAAACAAAATGCTCTGCTGCTGCTGTTGCTGCTGCTGCTGCTGCTCCTGCGACGGGGAGTTACTCTGCAGGGCGACTATTGAGCGCGGAGCCTGGAAGATCGTTCCTTGTTGGTTCTGAGGCATTGGATTAGGAGGCAGGGAGCCCAGCGACACTTGAGGCTGGAACATACCTTGCTGGGAGGGCTGAGCCTGTTCCTGGGAGAGCATAGGGGTCTGGATGTGTGATATTGGAGCCTGCTGCTGGAAAGCAGCCTGCTGCTCAGTGTTAGGTGTTGACTGCAGTGGAGAAATTGAGTTCTGAGCGGCAAAAAATGAAATCTGTTCTTCTTGGGCTGCTGTGTTACTCTGAAGATTATTCATTGGACTCTGGGACAGAAACAGGTTGGCCGACTGCTGGTCTTGAGGAACAGAAGAGCCCTGGAGCACAGCCATGGTACTCTGGGAGTGAAACATTGGAGGCTGCATTTGTTCAGAGGACGTCGTAGAAGTCTGACTGTGGACGATGGGACTTGGGCTGTGGAAAATAGAACCTTGAGCGTCCTGGGAAAGGTTCTGAGCATCAGCAATAGGATTCGGAGGGTGAAAAAGTGGAGCCTGTGAATGAGAAGACTGCTGCAGAAAATTCCCAGATTGGAGTGACATCATCTCATTACCTTGCTGGAATAAACCATTACCTTGTTGCTGAGTACCATTACTCTGCACACTCATCATACTTTTCGTAGATGAAAAAAGGTTAACTTGAGCTTGACTGTCCCCACTATGTTGCATTTGGACCATGGTCTGAAAGACACTGTTCTGAATCTGCTTTGCTTGTGCTCCAGTTTCTTCTCCATCTCCTGAACTCGATGTCTGAAACATGGTCGTGCCAGGGGTTGCAACCTGTTGTGTGGTGGTTGTAGTAGTTTCGTTTCCAGAAACCGCAGGTGGAGAAGAAAACAATTCACACTGCATTTGCATGTCCTCATTGGTAGATAACGCGCTCATCATGTGCGAAGTCTGCTGGTAAACTGGAGATTGCTGAAGGTTCCCATTTGCTGACGCAGGTGAAGGGAATAACTCGGATTGGATCTGGGCAGCCGCCTGGCAGATACTCTGCTGCATCTCCATCACCATCGCAGCTGATGATTCCATCACTTGCTGCTGTTGCTGTTGCTGCTGTTGACCGGATAATGTGTTTTCAGGCGGTGGGTGAACACTTTCGGCTCTTCCGGCTATTAAATTATCTGGTCTAGTATGGACTGCTGGCTCTGTTGAGGAAAACATTCCAGGGCTTACGCTATTTTGAATTTGACTGACTTGTTGAAAAATGTCTGCACTAAGCTGTTCTTGAACATTCTCATTACCATCTGGAGCAGAAAATAAAACTGAAGATAACTGTTGTTGTGCCTCTAAAACCTGTTGGACCAAGTCAACATTTCCACTGCTGCCACTAGCAGTACTGCCTGTAAAACTTCCGGCTTGCAAATGCTGAATCGTGCTCTGTAGCTGACTCACGCTACTTGGTGATGGGAAAATATTGGACGAAATCTGCTGCTGTAAAGTCTGCGCTTGTTCTTGTAGTGGTGACTGCTGCTGTTGCTGGGATGATTCAGTCAGGTGTGACAAGTTAACCACTGTCCCATCTGACTGTAGCACTTCTCGAGACTGAGTTTCTCTGGTCTGAAACTGGGGAGCCTGCTGCAGTAGTGCATCACTGTTGGGCAGCTGACTAGAAGCAGAAACTGCTGGAAAGGGACCAGGCTGTGAAATGTCCTGTGTCTGGATAGTTGTCAGGGTCTCTGGGCTGTATGTCTTGGGCTGAATCTGCTGCTGCTTTTCATTTTCAGAAGGTAAGTGGGAAGAGGATGATGATGAAAAAGACCCATTTCCTGCCATGTTAGACATACTTTCTAACGTTTGTTGAGTTGATCCAACTGTCTTTGCAGTCTAAAAAATAAAAATCCCCAAATAATATGTCTATATAAACATTAAATTCACTCATATGGTACTTCAAAAATTATTATTCTAAAAACACATGTATATGCAGCACCGATTTTCCACTCTACATTATTTTTTCGGGGAACGGGTAAGACTAGCATTCTCAGTGATACCATGATATTGGTCATTAGGATATCTTTTTAATAAATGTTCTAAGCAAAGAGAGTCAAACAAAAAACTTTAATAATCAGTTACTGATGTGCTTAGGACAGGAAGAACACATTAATTCTACAGTTCATGAAGTAACAGTAAACTTAAAAATACCTCCATCTTGTGGGTCACTGGTAACATTTTGGAGGGAAAAGAATAAGTAAAAAAGGGAAAGGGAGTTATAGAAAAAGACTGGGGGGAAAAAAGGAAATAAAAATGTCTCCAATTCTGAAAATACTAAACCTGTACTTTCATTAATACCCCACATCCCACAGGTCTAGCTAACGTTTATTCTTCCCTTATCAAGGTACGTTGGAAGTCACTTTGCAGGCTATTTTATAAGCATGTTAAATCACTCTGAAAAGCAAAACTCATTAACTGCATCTACAGAGAAACACATGTGAAAGAAACAGGAAAAGTAAAAAGCACAAACACGGGGAAAAGAAATCAAACTAGCAATTTTTATAACTGAGATGAAGATGTGGGGCACTAATCAATGTAACTCACCTTAAAAATAGGGGAAGATCTTTTTTCTGCTGTTACTTCCATTGGAGTAACATCTTCACTCTTAATCATACTGCTTGATATGAGTGGAGTGATCAGAGCATTAGGAAGAATATTTACCTTATCTAAGTTACAACCAGTAGTTTTCATTGCTGTATACACACATACACACACACACACAAAAAGAAAGAAAAGTTTAAAATCATTAACATCATCAACTACTTCATTCTACAATATGCTGACTCTTAGTCATGATTTAAATGTCTATTTTTTCATGCTATGCTGGCAGCATGAGATATAAAACTGGTGTTATCAAAATGTGTCCTCCCTTTTTTGAAGTAGTAGTGGCTTGAGGACTTCTGATAGGAGCCTGAGACTGGGTTAAATAATAACAAGGTTACGCAGTTCAATTATCAAGCTATATCCTTCAGGGCCCTTTCAAGGTACCATGAATTACACTAATCAACACGACCACAATATATTATAGGATACAGATTAGAAATATCCAGGTTAAAGCTACTCAATTACAACTCTCCCCTTAGCATATGGTTGCCTGGCTGCATAAAGTCAAAACATTTTAAGGGCTATAGGATTGTTTGAACACTTCTCTCCTCAACAAAACTCAAGTGTCTCATTAGAATATGCCACCAAGTAGCCAGATAGACTTTGCTTTTCTAACTTAATGTCTTAGAAAACTTGTATATGCGAAGTTGACAGATGAGCGCATTTCTCTTTCATTTTTTTAAAAAGATTTTATTAATTTATTTGAGAGAGAGAAAGCACACGCGAAAGAGGAGAGAGAGCGAGCATGAGCAGGGGAAGGTGGAGGGAGGGGCAGTGGGACAGGGAGAAGCACACTCCTCACTGAGCAGGGAGCCCGATGTGGGGCTGGATCCCAGGACCCTGGGATCATGACCTGAGTCAAAGGCAGATGATTAACCTCCTGAGCTACCCAGGTGCCCCAGCACATTTCTCTTTTATTTGTATTTATTATTATTATTATTATTTTTTAAAGATTTTATTTATTTGAGGGAGAGAGAATGAATGAGAGAGAGAGAGAGAGAGAGCACATGAAAGGGGGGAGGGTCAGAGGGAGAAGCAGACTCCCTGCCGAGCAGGGAGCCCGATGTGGGACTCGATCGCGGGACGTCAGGATCATGACCTGAGCCGAAGTCAGTCGCTTAACCAACTGAGCCACCCAGGTGCCCGCACATTTCTCTTTTAGACAGGACTTAAATTTTTTTCTTTTCAGAAATTTAAACACTATTTTAGGTTTACCAATTAAATTTCCAAAGCAAAACCAGCAAATATTTTCCACTCTCTTCTATTCCAGTTTGCAGGAATAGTTACAGATTTACACGGAGAGGTAATAATACATAGCAGATAAGGTAGGTTCTACCATTTCATTTTATCTACTTTTTTCTCCTTGATTCCTTTTCTTTGACTTTTTTTCTAACGTCTGTGCTACTGGCACTTAGTGGAGCCTACTGATATCACTAATGATAGTCTTCTGAACTGAACACCTAGCCAAATTCTGATCTAAGAGCTTACCATTACTTTGAAACCCTGTGGAGAGAAATACAAATTCCCCAGAAGGCATAGCTGTTAAACTTCTTAATTTGATACTGAGAAGAAATACTGGATACAAAGAGGACTTTAAAATGGCTTATGGTTGGGGCGCCTGGGTGGTTCAGTTGTTAAGCGTCTGCCTTCAGCTCAGGTCATGATCCCAGGGTCCTGGGATCGAGCCCCGCATCGGGCTCCCTGCTCTGCGGGAAGTTTGCTTCTCCCTCTCCCACTCCCCCTGCTTGTGTTCCCTCTCTGTCAAATAAATAAACCAAATCTTAATTTAAAAAATGGCATATGGTGTATTAACAGGATAGCTACCTTTGTAATAATTTGATTTAAAAATATGTAGAATTTTCTGGTCTTACTTCAACTTGTCTCACAGCTAACTGGCGAAAAACAACTCCTGTGGGAATTGATTATCTTGAGGGAGGGGAAAGTGCTCATTTAACTTTTGATATTCTATACTTTATTACTTTGAAAAATGGATCATTTCCTCTTGAGTTCTCAGACCTATTTTCACCCAGATTCAATGCAACTCACAATCCAATTTTGACTGAGACAAAACTTCAGATCATGCACAAGTCAGGCATTTCAAAGTATTTTAGACCCATCTCACAATTTGAAAGACCATTGCTAGTGTCCTATTTTGATCCTGTGACACAGGACAGACAGACCTGCTGCTTCTGGTTTATGTGAGGCCTGTATTTGGGCCCTCTTTGGTTTTACTGTTAGTACATCGGGCCCACGGCTACTTGGCAGCTGTGAGGCATGGGGTGGGTTGACCATATCAAGTTCTGCTGTTGCTATTATACATGTGGGTGGAGGATGAGTTAGCCCCCAAATTTTGCTAGTGGATCAGCTGCTGTCACTAAGTATAAGTCATCCCACCAAGACTCTGCTAGTCTTTGCCTTTCCTAGTCTTTGCAAGCAGGCTATTTGTGCTTCTTGACTTATTCTTTCTCTCTCTGTGCCTGTTGCCAGTTCTGAGTTGCAGACTTCTCTGGTGCCCAATTCAGGTAGATAAAAGAAAACCCAGGAAACTCACTTGGTGTCAATCTTCAAGTTCTAAGGTCCCTAGCCAGTCTACTTTCTTCTCTCTGTATTTCAAAGTGCTTTTATGATTATTCAATTATTTCCAAGGTAATTTGGTAGATTTAGACGGGAGGGACAGGGAAAAGTAAGTCTATAATATTATGTCCCAGAACCCACAACTGTATCTTTAATGGACCTGTAAACAATATTAAATGGCTTGAGAGAGGTCATCCTATCTTTCCTTCCTACATTCTCATTATATATTTATGATCCTTTACAAAGTTTCAGGCACTGTTTCAGGTTCCAGTGATGATTAAGATGGATAAAGTCCTACTGCCCAGAAATTATATTTTAGTGAAGGAAGGGAAAAAAAAAATCAAACATGGGAAGTCTGTGTATTATGTAAGGGCTAGGGGAGAACTTTTAAGCCAATTCAGAAAATCCACAAGGTAAGTAAGATAGACATATTTAGCCATCCAAATATCAATTTGAATTTGTGAAAAATGGTACTGACCATTTATGCCAAACAACTTTTAAACAGTGTTCACTTCCACCCATGCCAAATAATCTTTGAAACTTAGAACAATCTTTACTACAGGTTTGTTAACAGCAAGCAGCATTTAGGTCAAGTACAAATACGCTTGTTTAAAATATCGATTAAGATTTATAAGGGAAGAAATGATAGAGTAAAAAAAGCAGAGGTGTGGGAGAAATCTAAGTTCCAAGCTCTGTCAGTTACTAGCTGTGCCACCTTGAGCAAATCACTTAACTTCTCTAAGCTTTGGTATATTCACCTGTAAAATGAGATTGAGATACGGTTCCTCCACACTCCTAAACCTTTCCACATAGCTAAAACCAGTTAGAGAAAAGTATATGCTCTCAATTATTACATACTCATCCACTCCTTACAAAGCTGAAACTAAGAGAATGCACATCAATACAAGTTGACCCTTTAACAATGTGGGGGTTGAGGCACTCATCATGACACACAGTTGAAAATCCACATAGAACTTTTGACTCTCTCAAAACTTAACTACTGATAGCCTACTGTTAACCAAAAGCCTAACCAATAACATAAAGAGTTGATTACCACATATTTTATATGTTATACGTATTATATACTGTTTTCTTACAATAAAGTAGGCTAGAGAAAGAAGGCTATTAACAAAATCATAGGGAAACACACTATATTTATTGAAAAAAACATGCATATAAGTGGACCTGTGCAGTTGAAACCTGTGTTATTCGAGGGTCAACTATACTTTATCCCTGGGTCCTAAACCTGTATCACAGAGTCTTTGAGCCATCTTTCTAGAGTGTCCCCTCATGTCTACCTGGCCCTACATAGATACAGAAAACTTCCCGGAAATATGCTCAAGAAACTGTTAACAGTAATTTACACTATACACTTGATATTATTTAACTTGTATTACTTTTGTGTTAAGAACATATACACAGTTGAGTAAAACCAAAAATGAACCATGATATTCTGGCTCTAGATTTAATATCTCACTGAGTGAGCTGAGCAGTTATCCTCCTTACTCTCCACCCACTGCCTCCAAACCCTCTCTAAAGAATTAGAAACTTACTTTAAAGCAAAAGCTTTCAGTATCTTTCAATAATATCATTATTTGGTTATCAAGTTCTAAATCTTAATGTAATTGATGGCTATTTATAAGAATGTTACTTGGAAGATTCCTGCCAGAACACAAATTTAAAAGTCATTTATGTTGCTCAGTCTTCCTCATTAAAGTATACTTAATTAAATCTCTCAGATGACACCTTGGCATTATACTAAAGCTTGATTTCAAGGTATCATAAGAATAAGCCGTATGTCAAGGAAAGCTGCTGGTTCTGAAAGCTACTATTTTTTCTTCATTGATCAGGAATCTCCAAATAATGATATTCCATTTAAAATGACAAGTGAAAGGGGCGCCTAGGTGGCTCAGTTGTTAAGCATCTGCCTTCGGCTCAGGTCATGATCCCAGGGTCCTGGAATCAAGCTTTGTATCGGGCTCCCTGCTCAGCAGGAAGCCTGCTTCTCTCTCTCCCACTCCCCCTGCTTGTGTTCCTGCTCTCGCTATCTCTCTCTGTCAAATAAATAAATAAAATCTTTAAAAAAAAAATGACAAGTGAAAAATTTAAATCTTTTCTTTTTTTAAAGATTTTATTTATTTATTTGCCAGAGAGACAGAGAGGGCACAAGCAGGGTAAGCAGCAGGCAGATCAGGCAGACAGAGAAGCAGGCTCCCCACTGAGCAAGGAGCCTGATGTGGGACTCCATCCCTGAACCCTAGGATCATGACCCGAGCCAAAGGCAGCCGCTTAACCGACTGAGCCACCCAGGCGTCCCTGACAAGTGAAAAATTTAAATCAATGAGTATTCAATTTCATTTTCTATCATCAAAAAAAATTTTACCATGGTTTCACTTGATAAAACTGTCAAGATAAGGTTTGAATTGTGAAAAATAACATGTGTGTGTTTGTTTCTTATCCATTTGTTTTAGCCTTTTAAGATTTTGATCAAATGACTAAATCATTTATTACTAAAACTTAAATGTGACAGCTAAAACTTTTTAACCTTCAACTCATTATCTTGTATGAGAAATTTCACACTGGATTAGATTAGTGTCCCATCAGTCTGATACTCTATGAAAGTACCATCAAAAAGTTTTGGAGAGGGGCGCCTGGGTGGCTCAGTTGGTTAAGCGACTGCTTTCGGCTCAGGACTCCAATCCTGGAGTCCCAGGATTGAGTCCCACATCGGGCTCCCTGCTCGGCAGGGAGTCTGCTTCTCCCTCTGACCCTCTTCCCTCTCGTGCTATCTCTCATTCTCTCTCTCTCAAATAAATAAATAAAATCTTAAAAAAAAAAGTTTTGGAGAAAAGTATGGATGATGGCAAAGTTGGCAAAAAACAGACCACAGATATCCCTGACTTTCTTTAATGATTCATTAATTATGGATTTATTCATTTAATAAACATGGTTTAAATTATTTTTGCTTAGATGTGTTACCTTACGCACTACAGCTCAACCTATCCTTTTTTTTAAAAAAAAAGATTTTATTTATTTATTCGCTAAAGAGAGAGAGAGTGAGAGTACAAGCAGGGGGAGCAGCAGGCAGAGGGAGAAGCAGGCTCCCCGCCGAGCAAGGAGCCCAAACATGGGACTCAATCCCAGGACCCCAGGATCGTGACTCGAGCCGAAAGCAGCCGCTCAACCAACTGAGCCACCCAGCCAACCCACAACCTATCCTTTTTTAACACTAGCTAAGTGACCTTGGGCAAATTATTTAACCTCTCTGGAACCCTGGTTTCTTCATCTGTGAAATGAGAATAATAAATTACCTACCTCATAGAGTTTGGAAGATTAAATGAGACAGTGCCAGTAAAGAGGCATATTGCCTAGCACTTAATATACATTCGATAAATGAAAGCTATGGTTATCCATTATACAGATTTGTAAATTTTCCTGTAGTTCAATGAGATAAATTTGGCAGTTTACTTACTATTGCATAATTCCTCACTAATCTACTCTAGAAGTGTTCATGTTCAGAAATTAAATGACAAGCTATACTATTATACTAACTATTCTACGCTATGTATATGAATGCTGAATTTTACTACTGACAATATAAAAAAATCCATTGTATTTGATTAAGTATTTTTAATTTTAAAATTTAATTTGACTCATGAATTTCATGGCAGAAAAATATAAAGACTAGAATTATAATATATCAATGGCCATTATGTAATTGACATCTTCATATATAATGGCAAAAAAGCATCACCACTGAGTATCTAGTTGTGTTAGAAATCTCTTAAGAAAAAAATATACTCCATTCTGGCCTCCCCACCGCCCAAGGTATTGTAGGCTGGGCACAGAGTAAAGTTTGTAAGCTGGAAAAAAAAAAGGAAAGAGAGGAAGAGAGAGAAAAAGAAAGAGAGAGGAAGGAAGGAAGGAAGGAAGGAAGGAAGGAAGGAAGGAAGGAAGGAAGGAAGATCTAATCTGTGTTACATTATAACATCCTGAAGATATCTTCATTGTTTCTTGGGATTGGCAGGGAGTAAATAAAGATATCAGAAGGAAGAATGATAACTAAAAAACCTAAAGAAACTTTTCAAATGTTGAACTTTTTCAAAATAGTTCAAATTTTGGTCTCTTCAGTTTCAAAATTTCAATGTCAAGTACTAATTTTGGTAGCAAGAAGCTTTATAGACTCTATTTTACAAAAACTTTATATTTTATACTTTTAACATTTCTAACATTGGGGAATGAAAAACATAAAAAAAAAAAAAATCTCCTCTACTCCAACTTATGCTTTAAAACAGTTTTTTCATATGGTGAATAAAGGGAAATATCAAGTTGGGAAACAAGTTTCTGCATTCAATAAAGTTAAACAAATATTTATTTTGTGATATGGAAGATATCTTGCTAAGTGTTCCAAGTACATAAGAGAAAACATAGTAAGTAAGAGTTGCTAGACAAAAAAAATAGGATCACCTATTTATAATTTTTGGAAAGAATCGACTTGGTACCTTTCATGGCCTCTTCAAAAGAGCAAGGTCTTGAAGGACTAGATATCTCTTTCTTCACATTTACATTCAAAGCACCAGCTGCTGCTATAGAAGCAAAACAAAATAGAAAGATGGATGTATTTAAACTTTTCCTAAAAAAAAAGTGTATCTTAAAAATCTTTAATTGAAATATTTCCCATAAAACATTATTAAATTATTTGTTTAGCAGAAAATCTAAGCAGAAATGAGGGGTTTTTTTGTTTTGTTTTTTTAACAGATTTTATTTATTTATTTGTGAGAGAGAGAGAGAGCGCACAAGCAGGGGGAGCGGCAGGCAGAGGTGGAAGCAGGCTCCCCGCTGAGCAAGGAGCCCGATGTGGGGCTCAATCCCAGGACCCCAGGATCATGACCTGAGCTGAAAGCAGATGTTAACCGACTGAGCCACCCAGGCGCCCCAGGAATGAGTTTTTAGAACCACCAATTTATGCCCTAAAATTCATCAACCAAATGGGCAGTAGTACATGCTCACTTATGAAAACAAAAGCAACAGCAACTTAAAAAAAATCCTTCTTGTAACAGTATTCACACTGATGATATGAGTAGAAGACTGATATGAAACTTTTTTTTTCTTCCTTAAGTAGGCTCCATGCTAGCATGGAGCCCAATGCAGGGCTTGAACTCACGACCCTGAGATCAAGACCTGAGCTGAGATCAAGCGTCGGATGCTGGTTTAACTGAATGAGCCACCCAGGTGCCCAAAACAGACAGGAAACTTTTTAAAAATTATCAAATATACTGTAATACCAGATAACAAAAATTCACCATTCATCTACACAAATGATTTATTAAAAAATACTGATTGAGAAACATTGGTCAATTAATTGAGCTAAATTTTAAAAAAGCTGTGATGAACATACAGAATCTATAACATTATGATTATTCCTTTTGTAAAGATTTTGAAAAAATAATCTTTGTATATTATTAATGGAGAATTGCTGGACTATTACATCTAGTCATATCAACTACAGCTACTATGGCAACTTAAAATTTAATGGGCCTAATAGGGTTCAGTTCTGAAATGATAAAGTTAAATAAATTCCAAGTTTTTGCTTAAAATGCCTATACAATAAGTTTATTTAAATCTTTTAATTTCTATTTTTCAATGTATTTACTTTATATTCCCTAACTTATTCAGAATAGGAACTGAGTCACCTTACTTGCAATTTCTTTAAAATTTTATTAATTATTTATTCATTTTTAAGTAAACTGTATACCCAATGTGGGCCTTAAACTAACAACCCCAAGATCAAGTGTGTTAGGCTCTACCAACTAAACCAGCCAGGAGCCCCACCTTATTTTCTATTTCTTATTTTTGACATGACAATGTGAAATGATAAAGAGACTATAAAGAGCTAGTTAATTGTGAATAAAAAGACAAAATGTACACATCTAAGAATGAAGTTAAATACTTTATCTTAGTGTGCTACATAGGAGGTCCAACAAATATAGGGAATTGAATGGAAAAGAAATCCACAGTTTTAAAGCATAACATTAATTCTAGCAATTACAGATTTTATTTATTTATTTATTTTAAAGATTTATTTATTATTTATTTTGAGAGAGTGAGAATGAGAGAGAGAGTACATGAGAGGGGGGAGGGTCAGAGGGAGAAGCAGACTCCCTGCTGAGCAGGGAGCCCGATGCGGGACTCGATCCCAGGACTCCAGGATCATGACCTGAGCCGAAGGCAGTTGCTTAACCAACTGAGCCACCCAGGCGCCCTATTTATTTATTTAAAGCGCCTGTGTGAGTGGGGTGGGGAGGGGCAGAAGGGAAAGAGAATCTTAAGCAGGCTCCACGCCCAGTATGGAGCATGACTCAGGCTTGATCTCATGACTCTGAGATCATAACTTGAGCTGAAATCAAGAGTTGGATGCTTAACCACCTGAGCCACCAGGTGCCCCAACAATTACAGATTTTAAAATAGAAACTAATCTTTGAAAACACTTTAAATTTTGACTCTTTTTCTCTCTTTTTTAAAATATTTTATTTATTTACTTGACAGGGAGAGAGAGAACAAGCAGGGGAAGCGGCAGGCAGAGGGATAGGGAGAAACAGGCTCCCCACTGAGCCGGGAGCCAGACGTGGGGCTCGATCCCAGGACCCTGAGATCATGACCCAAGCTGAAGGCAGATGCCCAACAGATTGAGCCCCCAGGTGCCCCTAAATTTTGACTTTTTAAAATCAAGTTTTAGTCAGCTGTTGTTAGAGCAACAAAAAAATGAATAAATATTATATGCCTCATTTCTTACAGAAATCACCAATGCTGAGTCACCACAAAAAACAGCTAATGTGATTTATGTGCCTTAATAGACTGAAGTAAAAGCTTTGGGGACTAACTAGCAATGAAACAAAGTTTTATGGCCTTGCAAAGTATCTAAATTCTTGAGAACATACAGATGCAATATATTTTTTAGCAATGCTAGACTCAGAGGGCTTCAGAGGGGCTCTTGTCTGGCAAAGTGTGCAGAGCCAGTTTATGTTGAACCCTTGCCCCAATCCTACTTTTAGACCATGTACCAAGTACCCAAGATCTCCAAATTTTCTGCATAACTATTTTAGACTATGTGTATAGTCTTAGGCCTACAGAGCGGACAGAGCTTGGAAGCACTTGTTGGTGCACTCTCTAGGTATAGAATGAAGTTGAAAAAGGGAAAAGAAAGGAGTGCCTGAGTCGCTCGGTTGGGCGACTGCCTTTGGCTCAGGTTATGATCCTGGTGTACAGGGATTGAGGCCAAATCAGGCTCCCTGCTCAGCAGGGAGTCTGCTTCTCCCTCTGACCCTCCCCCCCTCATGCTTTCTCTCTCAAATAAATAAAATCTTAAAAAAAAAGAAAGGGAAAAGAAGGCTGGCAGGGTGGGGACTCCTCTTTCCTCATTTTACTATATTCGGCTTGGAACTCCCAAGCATTCTGACAATCCTAAATTCAAATCTTGTCTTCCAGATTGATCTGAAAGTATCTTAGTCAAATTAGGAGGATAGGATATATTTAAGTTGCTAGTTTAATTATAACTTTTAAATATTTAGACAAATAGTATAATATTGCCATTTCTACGCTGACTTGCGAATATTAGGGTAGGCCTAGTTTTTGCTGTTATAATTACGCATCATGAATATTCAAATGTTTAACCACAGTCCCCAGATGAATCACAACAGCAACTGGTTTATCATAATGAGATAGTGCAAATTTTCTATAACCAAGTTTTCCTAAAATCATATTCTCTCTCATGTAAACCTGAAAATATTATATTTTATAAAACACAAAAAAGTGAAATTATAAGAAGATTCTTTAATTAGCTATAACATAAAGGCAGAAACTGAAGCATGAGGTCCTATTACAACTTGCATATTATGTATTTATTTTATTAAGAGTTTCTGAGAGGGATTGCTATCTACTGAATACAAAACATGAAAGGAAAAACTTAAAAGAATAAACATATGTTAATGATTGCCTAAATGTGGCCAAAGACAGCCAATTAGTATATGCAGAAGACTTAAAAGCTGTTTTATCTGGCAATTTTTCAAAGGGAGATTTCTAATCATCAGCATGTATCACTAAGAAATGAGGATTCTTAGTGCTAATGCTAAGCACTTCAAAGTCCTGATGTTCTTCGTAATTAATCAATAAAAACAAACAACCACAAAATCTCAGTATTTTCAGGACTGCAAAATCTTTAAGGCTATTCCCTGACCACACACATACACTTCCCTCGTCCCTTCCCACACAGATGATAGAGAAGCTCATTAGGAAAAATGTTCTTCTCTATCAATTATGCCAGCTTTCTCCCCACATGAGTAAGCTCCTCTTCACAAAAAATATTAAATGCCACTATTTAAGTAATTAGCAGTTACTAAAATGCTTTAACTATCATTAGTTTTAAGTCAAACTTTCTTGGATTTTTGAGACCTTCCTAGAAAGAAAACAATCAAATATTTGGTCTTTGAGTATCTTCTCTTTCCTATTTTTGTTGAAACCAGTATATCATTTCTAAACTTTGCCTTTTCCTGTCTAAAAATTTTACTGCTGATCTTTTATTCTGAAACAAATATTAATTTCATTAATGCTATATACTATGGCATACTTTTGTAGCAAACTGGTGGATAATGAGCAAATGCTGTGAAATTCAGACATAATTTTTTAAAAAAGGGGAGAGGGGCGCCTGGGTGGCTCAGTCGTTAAGCGTCTGCCTTCGGCTCAGGTCATGATCCCAGGGTCCTGGGATCGAGCCCCGCATCAGGCTCCCTGCTTGGCGGGAAGCCTGCTTCTCCCTCTCCCATTCCCCCTGCTTGTGTTCCCTCTCTTGCTGTCTCTCTCTCTGTCAAATAAATAAATAAAACCTTTAAAAAACAAAAAAAAAAAAAAAAAAAAATTAAAAGGGAGAGATACATTAAGTGATAGAAAGTAATTATCAGGACTAGATATAACTCTGTCTTAGCTACTGTTTCCATTGCTTTTTCTTGCCAGGGCTTTTTTTTCCTGGCCACCATTATTTACTTTGTACCTCACTGAATCCTGAACTATTTGGGAATAACATAAATGATAAGCTTAAAAACATGGAAGTACTGCTAGTTCTGAAGTATGCCTGAGACTGGAATGAACTGAACCAATGGTAAACATGGCAGAAACTAAGCCTAGGTCAATGGAATAGGTGAAGAATTTCATTTTCCAAAATGTTCTCCTTACTTTTGCCAGGAAAAGGCTTTTCTTCCCCAGGCAACTAAATGAATGTAGGCAAAAAATTCTTTTTTTTCCTTTTTTTTTTTTCAGAGAGAGAGAGAGAGAGAAAGAGTGTGTGAGCGGGGATGTGGGGAAGGGCAGATGGAGAGGGAAAGAGAGAATCTTTTTTTTTTTTTTTAAGAATTTGTTTATTTATTTGACAGAGAGAAACACAGCAAGAGAGGGAACACAAGCAGGGGGAGTGGGAGAGGGAGAAGCAGGCTTCCTGTGGGGCTCGACCTGAACCGAAGGCAGACGCTTAACGACTGAGCCACCCAGGTGCCCCTCTTTTTTTTTTTTAACAGATTTTTTTTTATTTAAAGACTTTATTTATTTATTTATTTGAGAGAGAGAGAGAGAGAGAGAGAGAAGCAGCATGAGAGGGGAGAGGGTCAGAGGGAGAAGCAGGCTCCCCGCTGAGCCAGAAGCCCGATGTGGGACTTAATCCTAGGACTCCAGGATCATGACCTGAGCCAAAGGCAGTTGCTTAACCAACTGAGCCACCCAGGCGCCCTAGGCAAAAAATTCTTAAGATACTTCTTACCCAGAGATCTTTTAAACTTATAAACATTTCAAGTGTTCTTATTGCTTTGGTTTCTGAAGTAACTACTTTACCTAGATGCTTGAAATTATACTTAAAATATTTATTAAAATCCAGTAGTCTTTTGATATTTTTGACTACTACACGAATTAGAATCTGTTACATGCATGTAACTCTATTTGTGATTTTATCATTTATCAATCCAAGCTTATCTCTCACCTCTCCCAAAACGCATCCTATAAGCCAGACACAGACTAAACTATTAACAGTTTCCCAAGGTTGTCGCTTTGACCTTTCCACACATAAGAGGTACTTAATGAATGGTAATTTTAACTAAGAAGTAATCTGCATGATATAATTCTGAAGAGTAGGACTTCAGAGCATTCCTAGTTTTTCTTTTTACTATTAGAGCATAGGCAGAAATAATACCCTTAACGCAAGAGTAAAAACAGGTGGCCATCTTCTTAGGAAATAATGTCCTTAGTATCAATTCATCTTAGCACACAACTTTTTCTTCTTGGTTGGCTAGTCTTCAATATGCTTCCAAAGAACTAGAAATTAATTATTGATTTTAGTTCAGAATTTTTTATTTTGACATACCTGGGTCTGGAGTGTAAGTGAATGGCTGAACATCATGAGATCTTCCAGCATTGGTCACTACATATATTCCCACTGATACTGGCAAAGTTATATGTTGGTCGTGATATGGGGGAACCTTCACAATAAGATGATTCTAAATTTAAAGGAAATAACAAGAGTTAAAAAAGGAGCGATATTTAAATTAAAATTTTGAAATAATTATAATTAAGTACATTTTCTGTTAGCTGTAAAGTGTAAAAAGTCTGACTAGAAAAAAAAATGCAGTTTAAAGATCAGGTTTCATAGGCATCAGGACATTAATCTTAAAATTGCTTTTAATGTTTTACAGTGGCTTACAAGGTGCTTCTCCTGTCAACTGTATCTCTTTTCCATTCCCCCCAGGCTTGTTATACTCTGGCCACAATGACCTTCTCACTCCATTCTTTTAACACACTAAATTCATTTTTTTATCTCACAGTCATTATTACTTGCTGGTTTCTCCCACTGGAATATTCTTCTTTCACCTCTTCAAATGGCTAGTTCCTAACCCATTTTCAGGTCTTATTCAAAATGTTAACCTCCACAGAGAGGCCTTCTATGACCATCCTACTTAAAGTAGCACCCCTTCCCAACCTGGTCACATAATCTTGTTTATTTTTAAAATAGCATTTATCACCACCTGAAATTACTGTATTTGTTTTTTTGTCTCTCTCCAATCACAAGAATTTAAGCTCCGTAAGAACCTAGGATGTTTTGTTCTTTGTTCTATATCCATTGTTAAGCACCTTACACCAAATACACTCAAATGTACTTGTTGAATAAAAGAATGAATAAATTTTGAGAAAAAAAATATGTCCACCAAGGACAATGTCAGTTATATGTTTTGTAAAACATTAATTGTGAGATGTACTTCGCAATGCAGTTCACAACTGCTTCCTAACCACTTTAATTCTCATTTAAAGTCAAATAGAGTTCAGTGTACCCGAACCCTAGCAAATCAAAGTTATTTTTTTGTCGGGATAGTGGCAGAATCATCCTCATAAGCAAAAAGTTCATAAATGCTTCATCAGCACTCACTCAAGGGGACTCCATCTTCTTGGAGGATACCATGAACCATATATGAGTTTTGCTCTTCTTCCCTAGTATATTACAGTAATGGGAAGGAACATTAAGGGGCAGTGATTATGTTTTTCTACTGAGGATGTGACAAGCAGGAGGCCAATGTTGACAAACGAGGATGGCATGAGTTTGATGACATTTTTTATTTAGCTAGACTACAGTTGGTGGACTCAGCTAACAGAACAAGTGACAAGTGGGACCAAGGTCAAGGTTTCAATTTTTGTGAACTTAAATTTGTTTCTAAGCCGGTTTAAAACACTCTCTGAAATAGTCACATTATAAATAAAGAAATAGCTTCTGATTTATGGCATTAGGCCTCCTAAGGCAAGTTAGCCATCTCAAAAAAAAAAAAAAAATCACTTTTTAAGACAGATGAAAAAACATGTATACATATGTGTATTCACAGATATTGGGGAACAAAAATCTGAAAGCACATATTCAAATGCATATGAAGTCATCAAAAAATGTATTTGCACTGATCCAACTTCTAATAAACAGTTTTAAAATCCTGTCTACTCTTAACATTACTCTTTTGTTTAAGCACTGTAACCATGTCACAAAGCAGTCCTACCTACAGTTAAAGAGACAGCTGAATGGATAGACTTGTGAAGTATCCTCCCAGTCTTAAAATTATTTGGCAAATTCTGTAATTGAAATTATTCTTCCGAATAAAATCTTGTTTCTTGGTAATCAGCAACAGATTTAGTATCTAAAAGTCTGATGCATATTTTATTTAAAAGCTTTTATTCCACTTGCTTTGGAGAGCATATTTAAATAAACCTAATATGAAACCTTTAAAAAACCAAATGAACCTATTTTGATACTACTCCTTTGTACTCCCTCAATCTGAATCTAGAAATTCTGTAAGTGATTTGAATTAAAAACTAAGTAAATTATGAATAGTGATACAAAGTTGTTTTTATATACCATTTTAATAAATTAAGAGAAATTAACTACCATTAAGCTAGGAGCACAATACAGATAAAATATACAAAGGGCTGGGAGGTCCTTGGAGCAGGTTCAATGTTCTCTAGGGTAAAAATAGAAGCAATCTTAATTTTAATTTCTTAGAAAAATCTGCTTGGAATCAAAATAACAATTTTCTTCTTCTCAGCAGATAATCTTTTTTAGAACTTATAAGGAATGGTGCTAGATATTTTTCATTCTCCTAAATGATAATTTATCACTGCCACATTCATTTTTCAGTTGGGGATATATATACATATAAATAATTAGAGACACATAACAAAACAAAATTCCTAATAAAATCATTTGAAAATATATAACCTCTAAACTCTCAAGCCTTTGTTTAGTCTAGATGTTCCCAAAAATTCTGAGGATCTCTTTTGGCATTTCTTTCAAGAACTTTCTTTCCATATTTATACTAAAAATTCCATCTTCTCCTAAACTCCAAAGCTTCTCCTTATTTTTTTTATTCTTTCCCTCTAAAGAATGTAGTAGAAAGAACCCAGAAGACTAAAGATTGAGAAATAACAATCTACACAACTGTATTTTTGATAACTAATACCTATTTTATGTTTTATAAAACAAGTTATTCTCAAATCAAATTGTATACTTCTTAGTATCTAATATACCCATTTTTAGCTCTTAGTTCCTTTTAAATCACCTCCATATTTCAAGCTGTGAAACTCTTGCTTTCAAAACCAACTTATCTTTAAGACTATATGTATATATATACATATTCATAGAGAGAAAGAGACTATATTATCTATATATATGTAAAAGAGATCTCTTAGAGATTGATCTTTAAGATCTATATCTTTTGTATATATTTAATAGGCAATTCCTACAGAATTTATCTGAAATTGTTAAAATAGTAATAGATATAATGACCCTGTGCTTACCACATTTGGTATACATGTGCCTGAGACATATTATGGCTTTGAATAGAAGAGACAGATATTAAACAAAGAACTGTTTTCTCAGACTTCATTAATCTCAATTTTTAAGTCTGTTTTTAATCTGTTTTTAAAGTTTTATTCATTCTTAATCTTTACACAAAACATGGGGCTTGAACTCACAACCCCGAGATCAAGATTCACATGCCCCTCTGACTGAGCCAGCCAGGCACCCCTCAACTTTTAAATTTTTAAATAATAAAAAAGTTTAATACCTGAGGAGTTGATTTTGGGGTTGGAAATGAATAGTTATCACAGTTATTCATAATGGCAATTTGCAAAGTTATCTTTAAATGGTGTTTTCTACTACACCATCTTTTGGTCATTTTTTAATATTGTAGAGGTCCTTTCAGCTTTTCTGTATAGTCCTGATATTTCTTTATGGACTACAATTTCTTTTTTGTTTTCTGAGTACCCTTCCCTCTAAAAATTTTTTTTAAATAGATTTTATTTTTTTAAGTAATCTCCACACAGAGGCTCAAACCCACAATCCTTAGATCAAGAGTCACATGCTCGGGGCGCCTGGGTGGCTCAGTCGTTAAGCGTCTGCTTTCGGCTCAGGTCATGATCCCAGGGTCCTGGGATCGAGCCCCGCATCGGGCTCCCTGCTCAGCGGGAGGCCTGCTTCTCCCTCTCCCACTCCCCCTGCTTGTGTTCCCTCTCTCGCTGTGTCTCTCTCTGTCTCAAATAAATAAATAAAATCTTAAAAAAAAAAAAAAAGAAAAGAGTCACATGCTCCACCAACTGAGCCAGCCAGGCACCGCTAAATGTTTAATTTTTGTTTTTTTTCCTTTAATATAATCTGTTGGATCGATTCTTTATATCTCCACTGTGATCCCATTTTAAAACACTTCCCAGAAAGTCCCTTAGGAAAAAAAAGACAGAAAGCTCTCTGAAAAAGATTAAAATTTAAAAATGAACAGCAGAACCACAGACTTAATGAAAGATCATATTATGTTTTAGTTTGTTATACATACTTGCTTGCAAAAACCCCAGGACCTCTAGATATAGCCACCAAATAAGGACATTAATTCCTTTCCATTCCACCATGTCTTATTTTTATGATTAATCTTCTTTAATCTATTGTAGCTGGCATAACTACCCTGAAAAAAAGTGTTTTAAGAATATTAACTACCCCATGCCTCAAAGGTAAAGAAGGAAGGAAAAAAGGAAGGAAAGAACGAGAGAGGAAGAGGGAGAGGAAAAGTTAGAGGAAGAAGAGGAGGAGGAAGAAGGGGAGGAGGAAGAAGGAGGCAGATGATGAAGAGGAAGAGGAGGAGAAGAAACAAAGACTTCTTAACATTAAGTTCTACATGGAACAGCAAATTAAGACTATGATTTGTTGGGGCTATCTTAATTAATATTTTATATAATGTATAGGGCAAGTTTCTCAGTCTCCAGAACTAGTCATAGGATAAGGTAAGGAAGAGAAATTGTAACAGAATATTACTAGCAAAGGAGTTTACATTAATGTAACCAACTCATCAGAAAACAAAACATGTTTGTGGCACACATAGAAGTATTACACGGATAAATTAAGCTTCAGTCAGGACCAAAACTATAGGCATGTGAGAGCCTGGTTGAAATCAGGGTTTGAAGTGCCTTCAAAAAGAATAAGGAACCTCAGACCCCAGAGTCCTCATTTTCTTCCAAGTGAATAAAATGAACTAACAAGTTTTTCATGAGTATCTGTTAAGTGCTTAATATTATGAGGAACACAGAAGAGTCATAATACATTGCGCCTAACCTCTGGGAGTCCTCGAGAGGAAGCCACTGTTGGTTCATGGGGAGTGGGAATGGTCTGATCAATTAAGTTATACAAGAAATCATAAAATGTCAGAGTTGGAAAGAACCTCTCAAATAATTTAGTAAAAATTTATAGATTAGAAAACTGGGGCACAAAAGTGACTTGTCTTATTTAGGTAACAAAGACTGTTAGTGACAAATTAAATGCTATAACTTCAGTTAAGACAGAGATTGTCCAACAGTATATGTGACAAAGGAATGACTGTTATGTCCTAGTATCTCTTTTTCACAGCATGTAGTAGCATAAAGCCAGAGGAAAACTTTCTATATAGCATTTGTCTAGGTATGTAAGAAGCTCCACTTCACAGGATACTATTTTGTGAAGAATTAACTTTACCCTAAGGTCTAGTTTTGTCCTTGGCTCCTGAAAGGTAATCTCTTAAGACCCTAGAAATTCCTGCCTGATAGGAATATCTCTGACTGGGGGCTTTGGCCACTGGACAGTCTAACGTGATTTATGAAGGGGACTTTCAATTGTCCCATCAGTTGCAACCTCTGATGGAACTGGAGACTACAGGTGAGCTGCATGAGCAGTATATGACTGAGCCCCAACAAAAACTCTGGACACCAATGGCTTGGGTGAGTTTCCTGATTGATAATACTTTGCATATTGTCACACACACAGATGTGCTGAGATGTAAGGCATGCTGAGGACAACAAAAGCTTCACCTTTGGGACCTCCCAGACCTTGCTCTATGTGTCTGTCTTTCCTTTTGGCTGGTTCTGATTTGTGGCCTTTTGCTATAATAAAACTGAAATTAAATATAGTGTTTCCTGGGTCCTGTGAGTTATTCTAGCAGATCTAAGTGGGGAGTGGGAAACCCTAAATTTGAAGCCAACTGTTCAAAACTGAGAGTGGTCAGGAGATACCTGAACTTGTGGCTTCTATCTGAAATGAGGGAACACTGTGCCCTCAGCTTTGAGTTTGGCAATGTATTTTATTGGGTACATATTTTAAATTTTATTTTTTAAAAAATACAAAGGAATAAAAAAAATTTAAAAACTAAAAATCATAAACTTTTTTGATAAATTGGCCAATCTCTAATTTTTGCCTCTTCCATCTCTCTGCTTGTTTCCATGTGCTCTTTTCTACTCCCATCAGCATTTAATGGTAAATTTTAGGCTTTGGGTATTTTACACATTAGTTTGTCCCTGCTTTGCTGCAAGCTGTTCTTTCTCCACGATCTATAGCTATATATGTTATTCTTTCATATGCCTTCTATCTGATTTTTCATAAATTTGTCCTTCTTTACTGCTAGTCTCAACTTCTGTAAATTTGGTACTATTTGTTCTACATTCTAATTCTTTTTTTTTTCCTACATTCTAAGTCTTAAGCCAGTTTTTTGTACTTGTTTTCAAGCTCTTTTTCCTTGTCATTTTGAAAACAATTTATGGTGAGGTCCTACAAATACAGACTCTTTAATATAAGTTTAACAAACAGTGCCTCTGTGAAAAGGTAACAAACATAAAACACCTGACATAGCAGGTACTCAATAAATAAGTTTCCCTTTGATTTAACTAAATAGTAGGCTAGGATAATCCAAATCCTCAGAAAAAACAAATATTAGGAAATAAATGTCTCATTTATTAACAATGATAATTTACTAATGCTTCTAACTTTTAAAAATAGAGAACTGTCATTTCTAGTATCAGTGGAATTTTCAGTTACAGAAATTCAAGAAAGAAACTTAAATGATTTATATGAATCCCACATAAAGAAGAAATTTAATCTGTTGATTCAGGAAAATTTCAGAACAAAACTGAATTTCTCAGAGAGTAAATAATTAAACTACAAAAAGGCTTAAATTATACCTGATGAAATAATTCCATGTCAATTTCAGCTTCTGACTTCCAAGAGTTTTCATCTGATTGAAATAAAAACAATGATTTACTAAAATTTTGAAACTTTTTTTTTTTACTCTGTAGCTATTATTATATCTTTATAACAAAGTAGAACATGTGACAATCTCCACACCAATATTATGCCTACTTACCAGAAACATTTTCTTGGAAAATAACTTTAGTTCCTTTCAGAAAGTTCTTGCCGATTAAAAATACTTCTTCCTCTCCTTTCACCGAACAGCTATGCAAGCTTTTCTTTAAGATTTCTGGCACTCCTGCTGGCTGAGCTGTGGGTACACATAAGCATTCCATAAAAAGAACCACCAACACTTATTTCTTTTCTAAAATCAGTTCTAGAAGTTGTCTTTTTTGACCCCTGAATTTGACTTCCTTTACTCTGCAACTTAATTTTCACCCTAACAGAGAAAAATCCAGGAAAATCCGTATTAATTTTATTAACTCTGATAAGATTTGGTAGGGATGGATTAATGTCTAAGATGAGGTTTTAATTTATTATATGTCATCTTTGTTTTATCGTTATGTGAATAAATGAGTTTTAAAATGTGCATTTAGTTTTAATAATTTTTAAAAAAATTCTGTCTTAATCATATTTAAAAAAAATTCTGTTTAAAAACAAGCTTGTCCCACAATCCTAACCTCAAAAATGTCAGCTATGTTTTTGCGATTACTAGACTTCTGAGGCACTATCTCCTCTGGGTGGTACTGAGGGCTTCTTTAAGGATCTACACCCAGGACTCAGGGGCCCCTTACCAAAAGAACACCTAAAAACAGACTGAATCCAATTCAGAATAGTTTTTTCTACCAGAGGATCTCCCTGAACTAGGATAACATGAGGTTAAAAAATAAAATAATTGAAAAACTAGTGCATAAAGACTAAGTGACCACTACTAAAATAAACAAAGAAGTTGTAAATACCGAGGGCACACATCTAATGAATAAATTATAATTAGCCTACCAATTTTCTCATGCCAGGATTTCCTTAAGAAAATTTAATAGGTATTGCTTAGCAAAACAGATTCCTAAGTCAAGTAAATCTGGGAAATAATGGATTAAAGCAAAGCGAAATGAACAAAAGGATTTCACCAAGTATTTAATATTCTGATAAACACTATAAATATCCAAGAAGTGAATACAGTATATAGGTTCCCCAATATATTTGACTCCAAAAACATTCTTCCTTATTGACACTTAAGGACTAGTTTTCCACCAAAATACTCTCTGAGATGCTGGTGTATGCAAATAAATACCTTTTAAGTACTCAAAAAACTGCTCCCCAAGAGGTTAAGCACTTTGACATAGATTACACTATCTGTTGTTTTAGTAAACCCTCACAACATAAGCACTGCAAAGGTAAACTTAAATTTGGCTGTATAACTCACCGACTTCTAAATTAATAAAAGAGTCCACTAAACTTTAGGAAAAGTTTAACTTTTTTCTCCGTAGACACTTATATATTTAAATAGTTAATTTTATCTTTATAGTAATACCATATAGGAAATTTTTATTGTCAAAATATTCACTGCCTCTCTTTTCCTAGGTCCTTCCTTGTGGAAAGGCTCTAATTATTGCTCCACTCACATCAGGACTGGCCATGTGACTTGTTTGTATAATGAAATGTGAACTGAAATAATATGCCAGTTCCAAGGAAAAGCTTTTATAACCTCACATGGTTCCACTATTTCCTTTTTTCCCCTCTACTACAAAAATGGCAATGTCCTAGATAAGGGCAGCTTCTTCAGCCTGGATCCTAGAGTGAAGAGAATGGACCTGCTTCCAAACCACAGCCAATATTATCATAAAGTGAGGGACAAATAGAACTGTTGTTGAGTGCCACTGAGTTTTTTTGTTACTGCAGCATCATTTAGCCTCACTTACTGATATAAACAAGTATCCTGTTCTTATTAAATATTTAAGTGGCAAATGACACTTTTAGCAATGTCTAAGAGTTTAAAAGAAATTGTGAATGTATACCCATATACACTGGTTAGAACCCATTAACAGGGTTAAAGTATGAAGAGAATGGAAACTGTTATTCGTCAAATACTGGCAATTATATGCCCTTTTTAAATGAAGAATTAACTGAACTTATTTATAGCTTTTTAGAGTAACACTGGAACTAGATAGCTGTTTTTAAAGGATATTCAAGAAAAACACAGTAAATTTTTTTAAAAGATTTTTTAAGTAATCTCTACACTCAACATGGGGCTCAAACTCATAACCCCAAGATCAAGAGTTGTATGCTCCACTAACTGAGCCAGCCAGGAGCCCCAGTAAATATTATTTTGATTAGAAAACAGTAAGAGGTGAAAATTATATGGATATATTGTATTAATGAAATGAATGGAAAGTATACAAACCTTCCCCCCATTTCCAAATACTATGTGGAAATTCCATTCCACTGATGCTTATCAAAACTTTTTTTTTTCCCTATCTCATTTTTCCCTTTATGTATTAAGGGCATATGATGGCCAAATGAGGCTCCTCTGAAGGTACGTGTATATATCTTCTATATATCTGTACTTACATTACACAAAGAACTAGTCTGTTACTGTTCAAGATAATTGAACTTTTAACTTTTGACCTTAAAAGGTCTTTTCTATTAAAAAGTTTAATGGTTACCTAACAGCCCAGACACCATACTAAACAGAACTAAAGTCAGTATTATTTAAGCATTAACTATTTTATTTTTATCTTTAAGTAATTAGTAAGCCAGCTCTTGAAAGTGATCATACTGTTTTAAAAATTTTAACACAAAAAAAGCAGCCACTTTTCTGGTATTATAAAAACAATGTGCTTCTAGATGCTTTTCAAATAGCAGCTCAAAAATAAAGTTGAAAAAAATTAATGAATATCTGAATACTGAAAAACAACAGCATGTCAAAAGAATTAGTAAAGCTTTTTAATAATGTCTGTGAAGAGAAGGGAAGTTTGTTCAATGATATTATCCTTTTCCTGAAGTTGTGGGATACAGAGAAATAAGGGAAGTAGAAACTTGTTAAATTCAGTCAGATTTAATCCAATATACATTATTGTGAAGAAAGCTGTAATTAATTTTGTTATATTTTAAAAATTAGCATAGGAGGGTAGATACTAAAAAAGTATGAAAATTGATATTCTTAATTTGATATAGTATCACCAAATAATATATACAATATACCAAAACAAAACATGTATACCTGTATTGTCTGGAGAAAATAGAAATAGGTCAAGAATATAAAAGGGGAAAATTCTTCCATCCCCTCAAAAACAAACAAAAACAGATAATGGATCCAATGGTCATTGTTAAACCAGCAAGTAAAAGCAGACCTTCTTTTTCAATGTCATAAAGCACAACATGAATTCTGGCAATAGGCCTTCTTTCCACTGAGTGTCTCTAGTTGGAAGATCAAGTGTCTGTTTCCTCTCCTCCCTTCCACCTCTATCACCTTTTGGCCCCTCTTCCTCTTCTACCTCCCTCTCATCTTCCTGTTTCCTTCTATCTCCCATTCCAATTCTAACCCTTCTTACCAACCTATTTCCTTTTTACCTCTCTTTCTATTCCAATTACTCAAACCTGTCATAAAGGTTATATTCATGGAAATAAACATAAACCAGGAACCCATAATGGAACAAACATTCTTATTTTAAATTTTTTAAATAAAAAGATTTTTTGGGCCCTTTGTTTCACTGTGTATTATTTATATGTTTACTTTTCCTCTTCCCTCATATCCCCACACTCTAAAGCCTAAGTGCAAGCCTCACGCTTCCTAAAGTGGTCAGGTTAAAATTCAAATTCTTTAGCTCAACACACAAGTTCCTATAAAACAGATCTTGCCTAGCTCTACTAACTTCAAATCTTACCACTTCCTCTACACACACACACACACACATTTAGAGAGGGAGGGAGGGGAAGAGGGAGCGGGAGAAGATTTCCCGCTGAGCAAGGAGACCAGGACCCTGAGATCATGACTTGAGCTGAAGGCAGCTGCTCAACGAACTGAGCCACCCAGGTGCCCCTACTGTATGATCTCATTTATATGAAATGTCCAGAACAGGCAAATGCATAGAGACAGAAAATAGAATAGTGGTTTCCAGGGTTACGGATAACAGGGGAATGGAGAGTGACTGCTAAGAAGTACAGGGTTTCTTTTTTTGGTGGCAATAAAAAAGTTCTAAAATTAGGTAACGGTGATGGTCATACAACTTTGTGAATATGATAAAACTGTGCACGTTAAAAGGCTCAATTGCATGGTTTGCAAATTATATCTCAGTAAACTATTACAAAAGAAAAAAATCAGCTGTCTATTATGGGACAGAAAGCATGAACATAATTGTATGTGAATTTAAGATTATTAAATGCCTATAGGCCAAAACCCTAATTATAAGCTATACAAGTTAAAAAGTATAAACACTATTAAAGTTGATAAAAATTAATTCTTTCCTATATTTTATAGTAGATATCAGCTCAAAACAATGAACAAAAAAATCAGATTATCTCTTACCTATCATTTCCCACTCTCAACAGTTTGTCCCTATTTTATTAAAGTGAAACTAATCATTTCTACTTTATTAATAACAGACTTGTTGTCAAGATCAAATGGGATAATGTAGTACTACTATTAATAGGAAACTCCTTTTGATTAATACTCACTAGAGAGGAGGAATGACTTAACTACAGAGGATTTGGAACCAGGGCTTGGGCATGATTAGCCCAGACTTCCTTCCTCCCTCTTCTGCAACTGCCTACATGCACAAAGCATACGTTTTAGATGGTTTGTGCCTGTTGATAAGAGGCCTGCAATTGTAGAAGGCTGCTCTGACTGGGTGGGTGGATGTATCCTACTCCACGATGAAAAAGTCCTCCTTCTAACAGTTTTATCAGTAGTCAAGTTGGCAGTATCATCTCAATTTCTCTAACTCCTATGTGTCTAACTCCAATTACAAGGGAAACATTTATTAACTTCCTAAGACCTCAGCATACATGAAAGCACTTTATAAGCCACAGAGTATAAGACAGATAAAATAATACTATGAAAAGTAATATTGAAGTTAATGCCTTTTCCTGTACATCTAGTTTAATATTTAAACAAAAGTAATTAAAAAGTAATAACATTTTTTAAAAAAGATTTTATTTATTTATCTGACAGAGACCAGCAAGAGAGGGAACACAAGCAGGGGGAGTGGGAAAGGGAGAAGCAGGCTTCCCGCAGAGCAGGGAGCCCGATGTGGGGCTCGATCCCAGGACCCTGGGACCATGACCTGAGCCGAAGGCAGATGCTTAACAACTGAGCCACCCAGGCGCCCCTAAAAAGTAATAAAAATTTAAAAAGATTTCATCTTGTTGTCAGAAGATTGATCAATCTACAGACTGCTAGGTAGTATATTTAATGAAAACCCATGAAGATCAAATTAAAATTATATTCTGAACAAAGAATGATGACATTCATTACATACAATGATAGGGTTTTCAAAAAATCAAATCACTGATCCACTAGCAATGTACAGATCAGGAGGCTTAGGGGTGGTTGGCTGGCTCAGGGAGAAGAGCATGCGACTCTTGATCTCAGGGTCATAACTTTAAGCCCCAGGTTGGGGGGTAGAAATTATTTAAATAAATAAATATTTTTAAAAATGGAAGCTTAGATTCTTGCCTAAATGATTAGATGTAATTGATATTCATAGAAATTACTATTAGAAATATTTTAAGCTAGTTTTTTTTTAAAGGAAAAAAACCTGTTTGTATGAAAGTCCATAAAAATAACATTAATAAGAAATAAAGGGACACCTAGGTGGCTCAGTTGGTTAAGCAACTGCCTTCGGCTCAGGTCATGATCCCAGGGTCCTGGGATGGAGCCCCGCATTGGGCTCCCTGCTCAGCAGGGAGACTGTTTCTCCCTCTCCCTCTACCTGCTACTCCAACTGCTTGTGCTCTGTCAAATAAATAAATAAAAAATCTTAAAAGAAATAATTATGAAAACTATCATAGTTTGCATAATTTGCAAATTAAAAGAAGTATGGGAAGACGAACCATGAGAGATGATGGACTCTGAAAGGCAAACTGAGGGTTCTAGAGGGGAGGGGGGTGGGAGGATGGGTTAGCCTGGTGAGGGCACGTTCTGCATGGAGCACAAACAATGAATCACGGAACACGACATCAAAAACTAATGATGTAATGTATGGTGATTAACATAACAATAAAAATTTTTAAAAATAGTATGGGAATTATTACTGTCAAGGTACCCCTTTATTTTTTTATTATTTTTTCTTCTTTCAAAAATAATTTTTTTGAGTATAACTGACATACACACAACGTTACATTAGTTACAGGTGTACAATATAGTGATTCAACAACTCTATACCTTATGCTATGCTCACCAGGAGTAGAGCTACCATCTGTTACCATGCTACTACAATACCACTGACTATATTCCCTGTGTTGCACCTTTTATTCTCTTTCATTCCATAACTGGAAGCCTGTAACTTCCACTCCCCTTCACCCATTTTGCTCATCCCCCAGCAACTTGGCTAGCATTTATTTATAATGCTATGTATTTATAGGTCTTATTCTACTTTTTGTTTATTCACATTTGTTTTTTTTAGATGCTACATATAAGTGAAATCATACAGTATTTGTCTTTCTCTGACTTGTTTCACTTAGTATAAAACCCTGTAGATTCACCTATGTTGTCACAAATGGCAAGACCACATCCTTTTTGGTACCCCTTTCTTTCAAAGAAAGTACTGATCATGTTTATCTAATCCAGTTTCTCTAAGCAGATGAAAAGTGACAAATAGTCAACTAAAAGAATAAAAATAAATAACCGGGGCGCCTGGGGCTCAGTTGGTTAAGCGACTGCCTTCAGCTCAGGTCGTGATCCTGGAGTCCCGGGATTGAGTCCCGCATCGGGCTCCCTGCTCAGCGGGGAGTCTGCTTCTCCCTCTGACCCTCCCCCCTCTCATGTGCTCTCTCTCTCTCTCTCATTCTCAAAATCTTTAAAAAAAAAAAATAACCTACACCTCCATAATAAATGACTTCTACAAAAGGAAATGGAAGGGACAATACAGGTATTCAAGTAAAATCTCCCAGTATGAACAGAGATCTGTTTTCTCAATTCATAAAAAGTCTAAATGACACAAATAAATCTCCCCGGTAGAGGAAACAGTTCACTAACAATCTCTTTCTGTAACCATAGTCCTAACCATCCAGAGGCTTTGGCTAGGATGAAATGAATTGTTTAAACTTGGTTTTAGCACTGCAATTTTAAGTGATTATAATGACAATATAGCATAGTGGCTAAAAGCAGAGGCTCTGAATCCTGGTCTTACTATTTGCCAGCTATGTGACCTTGAGGGAGTAAATAACTCTCTCTAAGTCTCAGTTTCATCAACTGTAGAATGGAATCCATATGAGGTAACAGAGAGGACTAAATGATACAATGCTTATAGTGTTTAACAAAATCCCTGGCATATAGTCAGAGTTCAAAGCATGTTAACTTTTATCACTGGCCATATATCCTTTCCATTGCTTCTTAGGGCCATCAAATCTACCCCACACATCACCTCCCAGAGAGATACACTTTTTTGCAATGTGGACAATATTATCATTAACAGTGATAATTAACAAATGATAATAATTACAGATGAAAAATTTCAGAAAATTATGTTTTCCAGTTCTTTCGTATTTTCTACCATCTTTAGCCAGTTATATTTATACTTTAACAATAACTTAATGAAAAAGAAAATGAAGAAATGATTGAACACACTAATGAAAGAAAGAACAAATAATTAAAGTTGGCAACCAATTCGCAGTCTCTGCTGAAGCAGTATGATCTCAATTATCTAGCATCTCCTGGCTCTGGCCTTCAGAGAGTGGCTATGGTCATGCACAAAGTATTAGATCACTTAAAAAAAGAACTGCAAATACACCATTAAAATTGGAAATTCATCCTTTAAGAGTCAAGTTGGAACACACCGTGAATTATAGTAAATCCAGAATTGGAGCACCCCAATTAGAAAAGCTTTAAAACTCAATAAACCATCTACAGATTGTTTATTTTGTCCCTATCTAAATGCAATAGAATGGACATGGAATCTATGATTTGTAAAAGCAGTCTATTTATAATTGCACATCACCCAGAAATAGCCCAAGGAAATACTAGTATCAACACAAATTTGTCATAATAATGAAAAACAGAGAAATCCAACTGAGCTCTCTTGACATCAGAAAGATATTTTAGTACTTAAAAAAAAATTAGGGTGTTTGCTAAGCTAGAGTATGGCTATATAATCATTTCGAAGATGAATCAAAAGAAAGGGAAAAGTAAGATTTACAAAGGATGAACAATTTGACAAAACTAAAATACAGTAACAAAGGTTCTGTAGGGGTAGCAAGGTCATAATACAGAAAACAACCCAAAGGAAATTCAACTGAATGGAACTGCATCTCTTCTGCTCTTCTGAATTCAGGTACAAATTACAAAAACACAATGCCAAAGAAAATTACACTCAATGAAAATCTTCTTAAGTGACATATAAAGGAAAAATTTTTCCTATTTATTACTTGTAATAATACTTCTTACAGGGAAACCAGAATATATGGTGAGACACATACAACAACATGATTGAATCTAAACACACACACACACACATTTACTTTTTATGCCAAGATTAGCAAAATAAGAATTTCATTTCCCACTTCCCAACACTATAATTTAATGCCATAATTTGTAATCAGAACTCCAACAGCTGTATATTTACAAAGTTCTGCTTACCTTAGTGTTTCTTCTGTTCTAATAGAAAATAGACTTAGGATCACAGCAATTTATCACACAATAAAGATGCAGCAAAAAAATCCTTTGGCTTTTCAATTTACTTCAGGTAAACCATTCAAAGTACATTTTCTTTTTTTTTTTAAGCATGGAGCCCAACAGCAGGGCTTGAACTCATGACCCTGAGGATCAAGACCTGAGCTGATTATCAAGAGGTGGAAGCTTAAGCAACTGTGCCACCCAGGTGCCACTAAAGTACTTTTTCCAAAATTAAAAAAAAATTTTTAAGTAGGCTCCAAGCCCAATGTGGGGGGCTTGAATTCACGACCCTGACAGATCAAGAGTTGCATTCTCGAGCAACTGAGCCAGCCAGGCGCCCCCTCAAATTACTTTTAAAATTAGTATGTGATGATAATAGGGAACTACAAAATGCTATACATCTTTAGAAAATTATTTGATATTATCCACCTTTTAGTCTAGAAAATTTGAGTACAGCTTTTTCAAAAGTTTCAAGTTTTGCAAGATCACAAGCTAGAGCATATGATACATCTGAAATTTAGAGATGTCTGCAAATTAACAGAAGATGAAAAAAATCCAATATATATTTTCTTACTTACTACATAAAATCGGAGAAGAGGGTGTTTGCAGTGTCAAGGTAGAGCCATCTTTCCTTGTGATATTAACTCTAAAAACCAATCTGGCACGAGTGCTTTTTTTCTTGGAACCAGCAATTCCTATTCTGGCTTCAACATCAGCATTCCTCAATTTCAATATCCCTACGCAGTCCACCCTAACACACACAAAAAAAGACATTAACTGATATTTTCTGTTGTATAAATAGTACAATATTCTTAACCAAATAAGTCTCTTTTTTTTAGGGGGGGAGGGGCAGAGGGAGAAAGAGAGAATCCTCTTAAGCAAGTTTCATGCGCAGTGTGGAGCCTGACAGGGGCTCGACCTTACAATCCTGAGATCAGCACCTGAGCTGAAATCAAGAGTTGTAGGTTTAACTGACTGAACCACCCAGGTGCCCCAAATAAGTTTCTTTTAAAAATATTTTTGCTAATTACTAATTTTTTGAAAATGTAATACAATCATAAGGTTCGAAATTCAAAAAGGACAGAAGGGTGAATTCTGAATATTCATAATTCTTAATCTTGTCAATTTTTCATTTATAATAATAGTGGAAAAATAGTAAAGTAAAATCGCTATTTCAAAATCTGAACATAAGTAATGGTTTACAAGAGATACTTTTGACATTTTTAAATTTTAATTTATTTTTTCTGTTTTATTTTCTTTTAAAGATTTTATTTACTTATTGGAGAGAGAGAGAGAGAGAACAAGCAGGGGAGAGGTAGAGGGAGAGGGAGAAGCAGACTCCCCACTGAGCAGGAAGCCCAATGCAGGGCTCCATCCCTGGACCCTGAGATCATGACCTGAGCCGAAGGCAGACACTTAACGGGCTGAGCCACCCAGGTGCCCCTTAATTTATTTTTTTTTTTTAAATATGCTCTATACCCAATGTGGGGCTCAAACTCACAACGCTGAGATCAAGAGCCAGTCAGGCACCCCAACTGCCATTTTTTAAAAAATAAATGTATCCTCTATTTTTGCAGCTAATTCATATATTAAAATAGAGGGAATGAATTTTTCTTAAAAAACAAAACAAAACAAAACAAAACTAGCAACTGTCCCCAAAAGAACAGAACATTATATAGCCATTAAAATATATGCTATAAAATAAGATTTACTATAAGGAAAATACTGATTGGTAAGTGAAAGCAAGGTTACAAAACAGTGGGTACAGTATTATTTCAATGTTATCAGAAAAAAAGATGGAAAGATATATATCAAAATAGTAGTTATTGAGCGCCTGGGTGGCTCAGTTGGTTAAGCATCTGCCTTCAGCTCAAGTCATGATCCCAGGACCCTGGGATCGAGCCCTGCATGGGTCTCTCTGCTCAGAGTGAAACCTACTTCTCCCTCTCCCGCAGCCTCTCCTCCAGTTTGTGTGCTCTCTCTCTCACTCTGTCTTTCTCTCTCTCCAAAAAAAAAAAAAAAAATAGCCGTTATTTCTGGGAAGTTGTCTTTTGAGAGATATGTTTTTAGTTTTTTATTATTACTCTTCATTGTTCTGTATTTTCAACTTATAATGAATAAGCACTATTTTTATAATCAGTAACTCCCTTCCTTTCTTCCACTATATACATTTATTTTATAATTTTCAAAAGTTAAAAAATAAGTCTTTACTAAATATTTTTCTAAATTTCCCCTTCCAATTAACCTCTTACTAACCTATTCAAAATGGCTTTCAAAAGGACACTGAAAACTAAATAGAGAAATGCCATTAGCTATCCAATATAAATAATTACAACATAAGTCTACCCCTTTTCAATATGTTTGCTGCTGTTATGGTTTAACTTTAGGATTAAAGGACCTTAACAAAAGGCTTAAGGGGAAAAATTTTTAAATTTAAATCATTAATACTTCTAATACATTTTGGGCAATGAAAATGCTAAGATGAAAAAAACATAGTCCCAGAACATACTCTTTTTTAATATAGGAAAATAGAAACAGAAGGTGAATTTAGAACAACAATATGCTTTTTCACATTAAAATGGGTCAAGGTACCATGAATGGCCTCCGTAAAGAGTTTCTAACGCAAACACTAAGAAAGCAGAATTTAGAAAAAAAAAAGAAAAGCAGAATTTAGGAGAGCAAATCAAATTGTTTGTAATTTTTATTTTTTAACATTACTTTTATTAATTCCAACAAGTAAATCCATATTATTTTCAAAAAAGCCAGCATTCCACCTGGCTTTTATTTCCTTGCCTTTCATCATGGGAATTCCATGGCAAAGGGCAAAAGAGTTCATTTTAACCCATTACATCATTCTGCTATTTGTAATGTTTAAAACATTTAAATAAAATACTCAAAATCTTCTTTTTTTACATTAGAAACCAAAATTTTTTTGAGTCCACTGCAAACGTGCAATGTATACTGAAAAATTTTTTATACTAAGTACTTACGCCAGTGTCATGTTGTTGCTTGGATCAAGACCAACTTCTATAACGGTAGTGCCTTCAATGTCCACTTCTTTACAGGGAGTTGTATTTCGCCCAGTTACCCTGCAGGCCTGATAAAATCCATGTGGTTTCACTCGACCAGAGTCATTACCCACAAACACTTGCAACACTACTGGCTCATTATGGCCTTCCAGCTGGAGTGAGATAACATGGAACATAAACACTAATTAGCCTTTCAAATAATCTGATTGTCAAATCAAACACTTAAGACCAAGTCCTATATTTATAACTGGATAACAATAAAGAAATCATTTAAATCCTCAAGATAAACAAAAGTACAATATTTTCATAAAAAGGAGAGATGCCTAAGTTTCTGTACGAAATGTTTTAATTCTGTAATAATCACACTTTGATTACAATTTTGTATGTATAATGATAAATTACCATTTATAATTAATTTGTACAACCAGATGCAAATGAATACACAGTCCTTTAGGTATTTATAAATTTATGGACTGCCAAAGCATGTGGGTTATTCAAAATTTACCACCACCACTAATGGAAAATTCACTAAATTGTGTTAGTGGCATCATTATCATCATCATCATCAAATGAATACACATAGTGAATTTTTTACTCTTTAAAGCTATTTAAATAGGAAAGTGAAGTGCACCTACATAAATAAAAGGGAAATGGAGCTCTTTGCATACACACACAAACAACATCATGAAATCCTGGGCCAAAACATGGTTTGAAAACTGTTAGTTCAGACCAGGATCTATGGGTCCTTACGGGTCTCTAATAAGCCTTCATAAGTTATAATTTGTATGCTGAAGAAAAAATAAATATTTAAAACAGCATTTGGGAACAAATGTTTCCAATGCAGATTTTTGTTCAGGTTTATAGTTAAACCCTGAAGCTGCTAATATAGAATGCGTAAAATCACAAAATAACTTGTACAATGTATACCAAAGGGCTTTAAAAAATTCATACATCTTTTCTAACCCAGTATAGCTACATCTCTGTGAAAAGATATCAAAATGAGGGAAATAAGCAGATAAATAAACAATCTACAGAAACCATTAGCAGTACCTAGAACAGTGTCTGGTACATAAAGGGGTGCATATTTGTTGAATGAATGAATAAATAAACTTTTGAGGTCAGTCAATTCACTCCCTATCATAGTTAGACAATCTAATAATACTTCTGACCAAAGAGTACTTAAACAAAGCATAACTTAAAGTTAGAGCAACTGGGTTAAAAAATACTGACCAAACTATCAACATGTATGGTTAGACAAATATTTACAAAGAGCAAAACTGAAATTTCTTATTTACCTATTATTTGTCTTGAGTTTGGGGGATTGAGGATGGGTTGGTGTGATGAGTAGCAGAGGGATAAGGAATGATGTTGTTGACTATTAACCAACCTTATAAATAGCCATGGATAGGTTTCCTGATCCCAAGATTCTACCATTATTTCATTAAAATTTAAAATGAAAGGCAGTCCAACTGAATACTACTCAACTAACACATTTTCACAAACTGTATTTAACAAGAATTTGCCATGTGACTAGCCAAAATTCCTCCCTGTTTAATGTTTTATAAGGGGCAGAAACACTTATTAAATATCCCCAACCCAACTCTTTTTTGGTTTGTCTTCAAAGAGAAATACTCTTTCTAACAAAGTTTCCCAGGTACTGAAATTTAAGCCCCCTTTTTTCATTTAGTCTAAATTCTGAAAAGATGAAGATTCAGTTGATATCCTATTTCTTAAACTGAAGACTTAAATTATTTATCAACCAATTCTTTTCTGAGATGAACAGTCCTGCTTTCTTTGGCCATCTCAAAAACCTCACTTTCCAAGTTCATAGTAATTTCTACAATATTTTTTTTAATTCATTTTAAAATTTCTTCTTAAATATTAAGTTTGGGAAGAAATAAATACAGTTGCTACCTATGTCAAATATAAGGAGAACATAATTCATGATTTCCAGATATTTATCAGAATACATTCTCACCTCCTCTTTCATCTAAGCTAAAATTCAAATGACATCAAAGTAACAATATCGGGCTTAGGATTCAGTTTTGCTTTAATTTCCATTATATACACCTAGCAATTCTACCATTCTATTGTGGACAGCTTTTGCTGGTTAAAAACAAAACGGAAGAAATTCTTTGTATATTGCTAAATAAATTAAGTACCTTTACTGTAGGAAAGCCTTGCTGTGTTCTATCCTTTACTGAGCCACGGCTACCCTCAGTCAGGTACCGAGCTCTATGCTGGGTCTCAGGCTGTACAACTATCTTCAACTCTTTTCCCTCACTTTTAACAGGATACTGTCCACACAACATAGGGCTCTTCTTTACTCCACTTCCTTTTTGGTTTTCCAATGTTCTGAGAAGTCAAAGCACAACATGGAAAAAGTATCAAAAAGAGTTTTTTTCTACAAAAGTCATCTAAGATAAAGGAAGAAACAGGATAGGGAGTACATTAAAAACAACTGATTATCTTACTGACAATATAGAGCCTAAGGGAAGATACATACATTCCATAAGCAAAGTAACTCAAAATTTTGCAGTAAAATTGAACTGTACAGTGCAAAAATAAAAAATGCATATGTGTGGTAGGAGGAGGGGAGGAAGACTGAACGCAATAAGCCAGGAGTAACGGATAAGAGCTGATGTCATTATAACCTTTCACATTGTACTTCAGTCAAAACAAATTTTAAAGCTACAAGATTAACTACCATTATCTTCTAACCAGACTTGTAAAGCAAAAGAAAAGTGGGAGTAGCAAAAAAAAAATAAATAAATAAACAAAAGGCCTTAATAAAAGAATTAAAAGGACATGTAGCATACGTATTCTTTTGGATATCTTTCTCAGTATAATTTTTCTGAAAAAATTATAATAAAAAAATCAGTGATCCAATTTTTATTGGGAAATTAGATTTACTCTAAAAATCTTTCTTAGAAGTGGAATTTTTCAGAGTATTTTTATTTGTGATTAAATAATTAAAGACCTTAGCATATAAAATCTTTATAAGCTGGGCTTTACAGATAGGAAGTCTATTTTTTAATTGTACTTCTTTTTAAATTTTTTTTATTTTTAAAATTTGTATTTCTAATATTTGTTTATCATGCATTTGCTATGTGGAATGATGTTCAAGGAAAAATACTTCAAATGGTGGTTAGGACTTTATGTCAATACATTTAATCTGAAGCACTGCAAATGTGACAAATACAAAACAATACTATTAGTTTTTTTTAAAATAGACTTAAAATTATCCATGTATGGGGTGCCTGGGTGGCTCAGTTTTTAAGTGTCTGCCTTCGGCTCAGGGTGTGGTCCCAGGGTCCTGGGACTGAGCCCCACATCGGGCTCTCTGCTCAGTGGGAAGCCTGCTTCTCCCTCTCCCATTCCCCTTGCTTGTGTTCCCTCTCTCGCTGTCTCTGTCAAATAATCTTTTTAAAAAATTAAAAAAAAATAAAATTATCCACGTACATTTTTTTTAAAGACGTTATTCATTTGAGAGAAAGTGAGTGAGACAGAGAGAGAGAGCATGAGCAGAGGGAGGGACAGAGGGAGAGAGAGAGAAGCAAACTCCTGGCTGAGAGAGGAGCGGGGAGCCCGAGACAGGTCTCGATCCCAGGACCTTCGAATGATGACCTGGGCCAAAAGCAGACACTTAGGTGACTGAGCCACGCAGGTGCCGCTACCCATGTACACTTTAAAATAGAGTCAGAGGGGCTCCTGGGTGGCTCAGTCAGTTAAGGTTGGACTCTTGGTTTCGGTTCAGGTCATGCTCTCAGGTTCGTGAGATCAGCCCTGCATGGGGCTCTGTGCCCAGCGGGGAGTCTGCTTAAGATTCTCTCCATCTCCCTCTGCCCCTCCCCCCTCAAGTGAATAGATAAATCTTAAAAATAAAATAAAATGTCATGGCCTATATTGCTTTCTGTATGACTCACACTGAAAATACAGGACCCAAGAGATGACTGTGGAAAAATCTCCAAAAGCAAACAGGTCCCAAGAGGAACATTATGAATTCAAACAAGGAAGAACAATGGTGGCTAAGAAGCCTTAAAAATGGCCCTAAGGTTTAACCCTCCATGTCTAACCAAGTTGTTGCCTCTATTATCAATAACAAAAAGAAGAAATACTGGGGCGCCTGGGTGGCTCAGTTGGGTTAAGCGTCTGCCTTCAGCTCAGGTCATGATCCCAGGGTCCTGGGATCGAGCCCCGCATCGGGCTCCCTGATCAGGGGGGAGCCTGCTTCTCCCTCTCCCACTCCCCCTGCTTGTGTTCCCTCTCTCGCTGTGTGTCTCTCTCTGTCAAAATAAATAAATGAAATCTTAAAAAAAAAAAAAAAAAAGGAGGAAATATTGTTTTCTCAGTGGAACCAGGCACTGGGTTGAAGCTCATGGCTAGGAAAGGGACAGAAGAATGAAGAAGGAATGCAAAGGAATGGGCGAAGACTGACAAGGTAAGTGGGAGAGTTCTGAGGGCTAGCACTGTGCTCTATCATCTTCATATTCCCTGAACCCTGCATAATTCCTGAAACCGAAGGTGCTGAGAAAATAGTCCTTGTTGAAGGCAAATAGGAAAAAGAAAGGAACAAATAAGGAAAGAAGAAAAAAAGAGCACCTATTTTAATAGTAAGATGAGAAAGACTGGATCCTAACTGGCCAAGGAATGCCATTCATGTAAGTTTGACATACGTTAAGTCATAGATTACCTGTGTAACTCATTTAAAAGGCCCTAGAAGAATAAATTCTACGAATTTATCTACGAGTTGAAACTGGAACAATAGGCAACAAATCCTATTTTCCTTTTCATCTTTCTGGGGAGAAATTCAAACATTTGCTTTCAATACAATGTGCTCTCAATACATTTGCTCTTACCTATGAAAACCTACAATGATATCATTTTTTTACTTATTTTAAAACCAAAGCAAAAATATTCACTTACAGAAACTATGTAAAAACACCCCCCAAATATTCACTGAAAAGAAAATACAGCAAAATGCTAAAAGCAGTTATACTGAGTGACTAGATTATGGGTTATTTCTTTTCTTCTATTTTTCCAAATGTTTGTAATTAATATGCATTAATTTTATAATAAGAAAAGGGAACACTTAGTTTGAAATATAAGGAAAATTTAGCATATGTCAATGAATTTGGCAAGATACAGTTTTTATATTCACTTATGCTAGCCAAGCTAATATTTATGAGGATAAACAGATGAATATGAGTTTTACTATTTCAGTAAAACCAAGTATTTCATTTGGGATGAAGGTTGCTAAGTGAGTTGACAAGTATACATATTCTTAAAGAAGAATAGTCCATGTAACTAAACAACTTCTGAAATGATACTTTTAAAGCCCTCAAAACTATCTTTATTCTCTAAAGCTTAAATGTAAAGATGGAATACATATATATACTTAGATCTTTAGACATGTGAAACAATGAAAATGTCAACTAATCCTTGGAAAAGTAGTCAATTAAATTACTAATTTTTAAGGCATGATGGCTTAAGAACAAACAAGAAAGTAGCAGTTAATTGGATGGGATTTTACTTTTAAATGACATCTAAAAGGTAAATCCAGTTTTGGCATACTCTTCAGAAGTCTTAAGATGACATTCTAATTTCTTTGTGTTACACATCCTTTTGGTTGTCTATGTCACAAAAAAATAATTTCTACTACAAAATGCCTAAAAAGGGTTTTACATCCAAATGACATCAGGTCTTAATTTCTAGAAATATCTAGAAGAGACATAGGGCTACTGATTCTCAGGACATTTAGTTGAAGAATTTAAGAATGACATGGCTAGAATGTTTAAATACTAAGTAGTTCCTTTTCAAATGATTCTGTATTCTTAACAAACTCTAACTTTTATATAATATTTTAATTATATGAAAGTGCTATTTCCATCTTGATCAATAAAACTGCTATATACAACATATTTGAGAGTATATTTCCTATAATTTAGCATTACATAAATTGTAAATATATGGCACATTAGATCTAAGGCTATATATACCTTATCCCTTAAAAGATTTCTAAATTTTTTTCATGTTTCTAGAACCTTTCTTGTTGAAGAATATAGGACATTCGTTTGAGATCCTCTTAATAACTGCTTTGAAAAGCCTATTTTTCTATATATTTACATAAACTTTTATCCTCTCCTTGATATAGTTCTTATAAATTCAAAATGAAAACTTCTTCCATCATTTCTATTTGCTAGTGCCAAATATTTTTCCATTACCTAAGAAGCTGGACATTTCTTCTGCTGCTTGATGAGTTTCTGTTCCATGAATTATTTCATGAGAGATTTTTGTCTTGACAAATGTTATTATACTTTCCCTGGGTAACCTCAAATCATTTCTAAGATATATCTATCATACAAAAGCAGAAGCAGAAAAGATGTAGGTCAAGATATCTCTTTAATAGGAACTGCAAATCATATGTGTTGACTAACCCTATGTCAAAATTTTATTTGTTCATTTGGATCTTTAACATTTATTTCAATATCAAAATGAAAATCTCTCTTCTGGAACTTAAAAAAAATTTTTTTTTGCATTGAAGCCCAAATAAACACCCATATTTAGTGACAGATACACATGAGCCTTTTACATCTGTGCAACTATGTTTCAGAGCATTATTCTACAGGTACTAGTTCTACAAATATGTTGTAGAATTGACTCTGCTAATGGCAACATTTTAGGAAAGGCTATATCTTGTTTTTTTTTTTTTTTAAGGTAATTTCCTAATCTGGACTTTCTAAAAAGAAAAAACATTTCAATGTTTACTTTTATTTAACTACATCACCCCAAAGAAGTTCTAAGTGAGAGGAGAAAAGAAAACAGTATAGAATAATTACACTTAAATGGTAGATAAATGGTAGCTATTACTTAAAAAATGTACTGACAGAATATTTAAGAACAAGTTTAATGTACATTAAAAAATATTCTCTATAATACTCAACCAGATCTCTAACTTAAAAGATTTGAATGATGTCATCAAGTAATAAACCAACCTAATGCTTCTCCATCACTCTCTGTAACCACCTGAAATTGTAGGAGGTTCTGGATCAACTAAAGACCATATTCTACCTCCCAAAGAGTAATCTCTCAAAATCCAGAGTTAAATTTTATCAAATTATGTTGAATGTACTATAGGAAAATCTAATTTAAAAAGTCTAGCAATTAAATATAATAAAAGTACTAAAGGAATTAAGAAGTTAAAAATAACTCATAGTATTCTATACTATAGCAATAAATATTCTGTACTACAGCCACTGAAATATATTTATATGCAGATATATTTATAGTGAGGGTTGTGAACTGGCAGAGATGAATGAAAACTCAAACATGTACCATGACCTGTTCTATCACCCTTCCAATACATAAACCCAGATTCACAGGGAAAAAAATCGGTGATATATTTTTTTTTAAAATGTCAGCACAATGTATCAAAGAAAAAGCTTAAAATAGATACATGAATCTAAATGATGAGAATCAAACCATCAATTTTTTCCTTGTTTTCATCAAAAGAAAAAAGTCTAAAATCCTCATAGAAATGGAAATGGGTTGAACCATATGGGGAGACAACATGAAAGAACACAAACTAGCCCTTTTCAAATGGTTTGAGTTAACTATGGCCATTACAATCTAGTTGTTTCCCTGAGTAAAAATATTTTTAAATCCTTTTAAAATACAAATCCATTTGAAATTTAAGTTATTTCAAAACAGATTATTTTCTACTAATCATACCCATAATAAGATACCTATTGCTAAAATCTATTAATGTTTTTCTGTAGTGAAACTTGGTAATTTTAAGTTCGAATTTTCATGTATCTCAATGATAAAATCAGTATCTTTGCTTTATATGCACACTTGAATTGAGCAATTACAAAAACTGGGGAATGATTTATTTATTTATTTTTTGTTTTGTTTTGCACAATGGTGATAGAACTTTAAAAAATGTGAATACCAACCCATTTCCTGCTTTTGAGTTGCCTTTGTTGTCCGTGGTAAGCTGAGAAAGCACATAGTGAGGTGCTTTGGCACTGTCGGCATCAAATATATCCATATTAGATTCTTCACAATCTCGTCGTTTGACCCCCGGCCTCTGCTTTGGATTTCGTTTTCGTGATTTACGAGGTACCTCAGTGTTATCATTGTAGGAACTGGTGCTCATGTTACTGAAGTTGGAGGGGGAATCCTCCATCCACATACTGCAGCTCTGCTCTGATTCCAATCCACACCCCTCATCCTGGCAGGACATCCGACTGTTATCCAGCAAGTCCTCAGGTGGTGGTGAGATGTACAAGACTGTGTGCCTCTTCGGTGTTGATGGATGCTGCTGAACTGTGTTACTGGTTAACTGCTTTTCACTTACCCCTCTGTTACTTACCCCCAAGGCTGAGGAGCAGCTCTCCACTTGCATAGCCTTGCTGTCGGTGACTGAGGTAGAATAAATGGTAGGGCTGGAAGAGGTGGTAAAGGAGCTGCAAGCACCGCCCATGGAGGAAGAGGAGGGAGCTGAAGAAGCATCTGCGGTGTACAATTTAAGAGTAAATACACTATACATATTTTCACCTATGCTGGCTAGCAGTCCCATTGAAAATGTGATTCGTGAACTGATTGTTTTTCCCCAAAATGAATAGTTGGAATTTGGTTAAGTTTTAGAATATAAATGCTTCAAGCAATACAAGGCCTAAAAAAATGCAATTTTAAAAAATGCCCAAATAGCAATATTTTACTTGTGTTATAATTGATAGATTTTTAAAAATCTAATTTAATGTTTTAAGCTGTAAAGCAAGAATAAAGCTTTTATTGCCTCAGCTGGATGTTCTGTTGAATTTTAATCATTTAAAATAATAAAGAAAACCCCAATATGAAATATATGCTTGTGGTCCACATTCAATGCCAATTAAATAATCCATTATAGAATTTGAAAAGTGGGACTGTGCTTAGCCACAAAATATTAAAATAAGTTTCTAACCTATGAAGCAGAGAACTACAGGTCATTTTTAATGCAGACACTCCCTGCTTCAGAGGCAAATCCTGGAATAAAAATATGAGAAAATAAATGAGAAAAGAGCTGCTGATTATTCCAGATATCAATTATAAAATGAGAAATAAATAGAAAAATATATAATCAACTGAATTGGAGGCAAAATGGAACTGGTACCGTCACTATGATTGTTGTAAAATCTAGAATAAAAGTGAAAAAAGTTTGATTTGGAATATGCTGGGCTGTGGAAGATAGGGAAGTTAACCACTAAGGGTATCTAGAAGTTGGAAATGGCAGTTCAAAACCATAATCTCTAAAATAAATAAATCCATCCTTTATGGGAGAATTAGTAAGTAGAGTAAGGATTGATTACTGGATGGATTTCTCTTACAAAGTACTTGATTACACACTCAGCAAGTGTTTACCACTATTGATTTCCTCTCTCTTTAAAGGGCCTGCTTGATTTTAACCATTAAGGGAATTTCTTAATATAAGTAACAGTAACTTTTATTGAGTGAAGCCTAACAGAAAAAGAGTTAAACAAGAAATTCTAGTTCTGGGGAAGCACTAAAATTAGTTTCTATAAAAAGGTCTTTTACAAAGCCATTTATTTATTATACCTAGCAAGAAAGATTTAAGTAGATCTTTTCAAAACACGTGGCAACTGGCAGAACAGCTTGTTGAAAAATACTACTACTTTAAGCCTTAACAGCACAACCTCAAAGGCACACTAATAATGTTAAGGTTGGAAGTTGTCAGTTCTTAAAATTTTAGAAATACCATTTGATCTTGTATAAGACATGGAAAGGTTCATAATCATACACACATAAAACTAAAAATAGGTAACATGGGACAGAGAGCTAAAAGATATGTTTAAATCTAAAATCGTTTTTATCTATAGCCAAGTGTGCCACTATGTTACAGTGGTAGGATAAAATTTAAAACTGATGCGCAGTCATTGGAATTGCAACATTCTTATCAATTATAATCTAAACAGTGAATGTAAGAATGCCAGTGTTCAGATAATCAAAAGCCAAGTGCCAAAGATCTATTTTTAAATTAAAAACATGTACCAGAACACTTAAGTCATTTGAAAGAGCTAAATTCACCCATAATTTCTCACTGCTGTCAAGGCTGAAGAGCATAATAATTAATATTAGCCATTAATGATGTGATCTACATAATGTCACATGGAAATATTTTTCCCAACTACCAGGAGTCAAAGAACCTAAGGCAATTAGATGATACCAGTTCCATTTTCCAGTTTGTATCTTTGTCAAATGCAGTAGCTGAAATTGGAAAATTCAGTCACTTTAAACTGCATTCCAATTTAAAGAAAAATTTATCAATTTCGTATCATGCATTAATGCAATGTTTTCTTAGTAAATAAATATTTTAAAAAGATTTGTAAAAACTACAAAATCTAGATGCTAATGTCAGTGACAGTTTAGGAGCTGATTTGTAGCCACTTTGGGTTTAAACAACAAGTTTTTTCCTTGTTTTTTGAAAAATACGATAAAAATCATTTTTAAAATAGAGAAGGCATTATGTATAACATTCCTCCATCTGTTCCAACTATTGGCAAAAGTGAAACTAAATTTGTGTGTGTGTATAAGCCTATGTTCTTCATCTTCAGAGAAATAAAAGTACGCAGCATGCAGGATTTGCAGTGGAACACACAAAACATGCAGCATGAATGCTGTGAACGTGTATTTCTATGAAGCGGCTTTCCCCCACCCACCTTTTTTTAATCTAAGTATCATGCACATGAGAATGCAGAATATGAACATCTCAGGGATCCCTGTCCATGACAGATGGAAAGTACTGGTGAAAAGTAATCATGAACTCAAAAGCAAGTTATGTGATATTCATGAATTTAATATGCAAGACATAGCCTAGCATTGCTCTTAAAGGTATATATGATTTTATCTTGCAAATCTTATCAAAGCAATCATGGTTATAAAACCCAATTGATATAATCATACATAAATGTCTGTTCTGGGACAGGTATGCCAAGCTGTGATCTCATACCCTACATAAATTAAAATATTCTATACATTTTCCCTAGACACCTAACATACAATTTTTATATTTTACCTGCAGTTTCCTGGATATACTTATTAAATAAAAAAGTTCATTAGCACAAAACTATGAAATTGAAAACATAAACTGTCAGAAGACAGCAGTAAGCATCCTTTAATTAAAAAATATTATTACTTTTTAAAGCCTATCTCAGTTTGAGCCTAAATTACAAAAAATTCTATTCATTTTAAGACTATAACAAGTAAGACAAATTTTTAAAACTATAAAACTCTTTACAACAATATCACCGTTACGTTGATAATGACGATAATGGTGTATAAAATCCTTCACATAAAGATGTTTTACATTTTGGTTAGCAAGACATCACCTAAGTGTAATAATAATGCCAAATGAGGTGCTGAAGTGTAGAATAAAAACTATGGGTCCTTTCTTAGATCTTTCTTAGACCCTCCCAAAACCTAACACAGTACCTTGCATGTAGTAAAAATTTAAATTTTTTATTAAATTAATTGGAAGCCAATATTTGAGAACTATGTTGAATTATATTAAAGTTATAATGGCCAATATATTGGCCCATGATGAACACATCAGGTTTAAAAAAAAAAGGATTTACTACTCAAAGTGCTTAAAAATATATCTTACTATAATAGCATTATCTGATACAGGGAAGGGTTTAGAAGTCACTTAAGAGTTTAGAGGTAACTATTTGCTATTTCTACAAAGAGTGTGCTAAAAACTTTCTTTCTTTAAACTATATATAAATCAAATTATCTACTTGTGTATTAATCCATAAATTTACTAAGAATAAAAAATCCTTAATATTATCTATTAAAAATACATTAAATTATATCAAAAACATTTTAGGTTTCTAAACACAAATTTCTCATTCCCAAGCAGTCCCAGAAAAGCACTCAAGAACATTACTGGGAATACTGTAAATGTACTTAAAATATCTACAAAGACCTTTCAGTCACTATATAATTAAGCATCAAGAAACAGCTTAATTGACTTTCTACAGAACTAAAATGCTAATGTAATCCTGCCTCATCTATATATTCTTTTTTATTTTTAAATTGTTATAAACAAAATATGCTAACTACCTTTCCCCCCTTTTTTGGTTTTGAGTCTCTTTCTGTTAGGAATGTATAGACTATGTTTCACTGCTGCATATTAAAAGTACAAAAACTCCAAAAAATTTTTTTTAATAATTGCTTTTATTTCCTAAGCAAAGTAGTCATAATGTATTTCTATTTTATACCTTTATAACTTTAATTTGTTCTTTTATTTTTTATTCAAATTCATTTACTTAACATATAATGTATTATTTGTTTCAGGGGTATAGGTTTGTGATTCATCAGTTTATTTGTTCTTTTAAATCCCTTACCAATCCTTTGCAAAGTTGTCAGTTTTTCTTAAAATTATTCTCTTACCTAAGTAACACATGAATAAATTTTTCATTTTTTTTATGAAAAAATTATCTTTGAACCTAGAAGAATTTTATTTTTCCATAAACTTTTTTGTGACTAGAGAGCATGATGAACCAAAGGGAAAACCGTTTCTACATTTACTAATGAAAATTTACAATTTTAAAAGAATACATTAATTCTAAAATGTGTAAGTGAAAGGAAGTATTACATCTATAGTGTTCTATGTCTAAGTCTAATAATTCTATTATTAGCAGTAGCCAATTATTAGACCAAATGCCAGTAATGATGGTGAATATAAGCTGTATATTATATGCTTTTAAGAACTGATGGAATCATAAGGAGAACAGCAGATAATGCCTACATAGATATCCTAAAATTTCTAAGTATTATTAATTTGATGAGAAAGATGAAAATGGACTTTTAAATGCTACCACATATAGACACTTGTGTAGATTTTATATGCTCCTTGCTTAAACTATATTTTAAAATTAAGAACTATTATAGTTCTAGTTTTGTGAACCAGAAATTAATTACCATTATCATTTTAGTGCTTAAAATACCATAAAAAAAAAAGGATACACTTTATATGGAACTAACTAAACTTTTTATGGAAAGCTTTGAAATTGGAAATATTCTTTAAAGTCCTCACAAGAAACAAATACCTTTCACTAATTTAAAATATGTGACAGCAATGGCATTTAACTGAGCTTCCAAGATAAAAATGTGATCCCTAGCATTTAAATATGCACATATATTTTGTAACTTTTCAACATCAGGGCAAAATCAGTTGAGCTTCCTAACAAAGTCATTAAAAGCCATAAAATTTTGCAAGTGTGCTTAAGTGAACCAATAGTGGAACGGAGAAGGAGTAAACCATTGACTGTTCAGAAAATAATCTTAAAAAACAATCCAGATATTTGGAAACATTTCTGGTCTAAAACACTTATTGTTCAAACTTAGTTATCCTTTTTAAGTATTTCATTTTCTTTCTGGTAACAATGACTTCAAATCTAAACATCTTGCCTGATAAAAGTCACCAGATACAAGGATATAATTTTAGATCAAAGAAGAAAGATATTGAGAGAAAAAAATTATAAGGCCAACATTCATGTTGCTAAGTGATTGAAAAATCTAGAACACACAAAGTGGCTGCAAACCTGCTTTGTCAACACCTTACATGCCAACCTTCGTTTTCTACTTTTCTTCTTCTTCTTCTTATAGTATTAATGTAAAGTTTAAAACTTTACAAAAAGTTTTTTAGTTCAATCAGTATCAATCCACTATTTAGAAACAAAAAAAGAAAGGAAGGAAGGAAGAAAGAAAGAAAGAAAAAAAGACTTATGAAGAAGTCTGAAAACGAGACCGACCTATACCCTGGGTGAGATTGGATGGGTTAAGTGTCTCTGGCACTATTTGTCTTCACTATTGACAGACACTGTCACACAACCCACCACACGATGCCTGTCTCTGAATGGCGAAGCTAGAATGCAAGTTAAGTGTATTAATAGAAAAAACAACTAGCATCCCAGCATATAAAATAAGCAATCCAGATTACTTTACCAAAAACAAAAACAAAAAAC